GGAGTTCAGGGTCCACCTGAGTCAGGCCCTTCGAGGTCGCATCTCGCTCCTGATTCAACACTGACCTGTGCGTCATGGTCTGTGCTTCGGCACGACATTGGAGGAGATAGAACGGATTTGCGCCGGGTGGGCCACGTGTCTGATTGGCCCCAACGTCTCAGAAACGAACCCCACCCCACGACCACGACCTCAGCACTCACTCAGGTTGCCTTTTTCGACTTCAGCACCTCCGCTCGTTCGCTCTCAGCTGCCGCAGTCGTCAGTCGTCAACTCTTCTTCGACTCGCACGCCACAGCCTTCATCGAGGGTAGGCAGTTAGGTGGTAACACAAGTCTGACTGACAGGGACCGGCTTGAGGCCTTTCAGCCAATCTATCCCAACCAACCAACCAATTCAACTCCCTTCCCCTGGGCCACCTCACTCATCCAGCTGACGGCTGCCCCTCCCCCCTTCCCTTCCCTTCCCCCCGTTGCTTGGAGAAAAGAGCCGGGGCAAAACCTCGCTACCGCGGCCATCTATCGGCAATCCTCTTCGCCTCATTTGCCCTTTTCCTCTCCACGATACCGGTCAATACCTGCACTTTTCTAGTTCTGGAGGAACAGGTGGATCGAGCGACCACTTCCCCGCACTCAACGTGCCCTAGCCTCTAGGTAGTGTCCCTCCCCCTTCCAGACCTTTCCTCCTCTCATCCCCGTGCAGCAGCAGCCATGTCCATTGCCTTCACCTAGTCTACTCAGAACCATCCCCCTCTCCCTCATCTCGTTTGTATCCCCCGTACGACCGGTCCAGTATCATAGCGCCCTCATGATCCACTCATCCCCAGACCATCCGCAATGGGGGCCATGTCATACTGGCCTTGCTCCTCGTTGAAATCCGGGGTAACAGCAAGGGTTGTTTCCATTAGTCGCGTTCCAGCCTCAATCCTTCAAACCCCACTCCAGAGACACTTGACAGAACCAACAATACGTAGTCAGGTCTAGGTCTGCTCCGAAACCCGAGTCTCATTGCCTTAGTCGGCCTGGGGTAGTGCCCGGAAGTCGGAGCCTCCCCGGTGCCCTGTCTGCTCCAAGGACATCAATCCAAGAAACAGGCAGCCCAGCCCGTCTGGAGAAGCAGCCTGTCTCATAATCTTTTCTGCTCATGCAACTACGTCTGCACCAGCCCCATCCCACCGCATCTTAGCTAGTTCGGGGTCCCCAGACTTTCCGCCTGCTCTACTACCTACGCCGGCAACCCTCTCTTGGGATAAACAAGTGGAGCGAGCCATGGGGGGGAGACGAGGGGCCGCATACGTGACGTTTCCACAGGTACCGCATGTTCGTCGTCACAGCGGGGGAAACCCGCCACGCCCAAACATTCTTTTAATGCTGGACCTGAGCAACTCCTCTGCTCCTTTTGTTGGCTCTTCAATTCCACCTCTGAACCTCTCATTCAAAACAGATACTGAATCTGTATCTTCTCATTGCCGCCCGGCTTTTCAACCTGACGCCTGCTGACCTGACCGTCTCTCACACCCTCTAAACCTGGCATCGATCGCATGTGACTGCACGAATAGGCTTAAGTCCCCGCCGAAATCAAGCTGCGTGACCATGGCAAGTCCGAAGGGAGAAGGAAAAACCTCCACGGAAGAGGCTGGCGTTGCTGCGCAAGAGAATGTCTCACAGCGTACGCAGTCGTCCCGTCAGGCAAACAAGCAACAGGTGAGGCATCGGGCATCTGTTGCCTGTGCATCATGCCGCGATAGGAGAATTAGATGCGTCGTACCCAAGGGCGAGTCCGAGTGTGTGCAGTGCAAGAAAGCAGGGAATGAGTGTATAATCAAGAATGACGATGAGAGAAGAAGGTGCGCTCAACCATCCAATATATGACCACTGCCAGAATATCCTTGAACCTAACCCATGTCCAATAGGCCTATATCCAAAGCCTACATGTCTTCCTTGTCGGATCGCATCTCTATGCTGGAGGGAATGTTGCTGGAAAAAGGAGTCGCACCTCCTCCTGCCGCCCACCCCCCCAAGACGAGACACGAGGCTCAACCCAAGACCTCCGAAGAGGAGCGAAAGCATCATGGCACACAACAGAAGGCTCGCGAGTCATCCGAAAGATCACCTCAAGCAGAAGTACCCTCCCCACCAGACTCTGCTAACGAGGACTACACGATGCAAGACAGTGACCGCGCAGATAGCGCTCATGCCGACGGACCAGTCTCTGCAAGCCAGATCTTCCAACCGCTGCCGAAGGAGCAGTCTCCATTCCGGATGCTGGACCCAAAACAAGAAGACATTGTCCATCGCCTTCTCTCAACAAAAGGAAACCTCTCATTCGATCAACTGTCTGGGCGGCTACGTTTCTTCGGGCCCACTGCCAACTCACATGTATACGCAGAGCCCTCAGATCAGTTTGATTTCCGCGAACCTCCAGAGCAAGTCCGACGAGCCGAGCGCATGATCAGGTCCATCACGGCAGAAACTCACGATTATCTCATGGACAATTTCTGGACTCATTATAATTCAGTGCTGAAAGTCATACACCAGGAGGCTTTCGATGCCGACAGAGAGTCGCAGAACCCAAAGTTCTACTCTTCGTTTCTTCACATTTGCATCCTTGCCATGGCGTTTCGTTTCGCAGACGCCGACAGGGATGACATGAAGAGGATTGCGTTGGGCGGTCGAGAGAGTACGCTGCATCGGGAGGCCAAATATATGCTCGATATCGAGCTCGAACGCCCCGGCGGCATCCCCAGCGTGCAAGCCCTCCTGCTCCTCGGCGATCTGGAATGCGGTGTCGGCAGGGACAACACCGGCTGGATGTATGCTGGTAAGTCAAGCGCGATGCATCTTGCCAGCACCACGGACTAATGTGCTATGAAGGTATGGCGAATCGTCTAGCATTCGACATCGGCCTTCATCTTGACTGTCGTAACACTGGGATCAATGAGCAGGAAGTTGACATTCGTCACATGGTCATGAGAGCCTGTGTTATTTACGACAGATACTGGGCATTGTTTCTGGGTCGACCAACGAGTATCAAAAACCAGGATATCGGAATGGACTTGCTTTCACGCCGCTTTTCTCAATTGACATCGTTGATGGGTGGGCCTGGCGCTGCTCACAAGAAGAACATCGCTGCCGAGGTTTACGACCAGCTGATAGAGTTGATGGAGCTTGCGGGACGAATCGTTGAGACTCGAGAAGTACGAAACAAGCAGCGGGGAGATGGCACAGACAATGTATTCAACACCAACGAAGGCGAAGATAACGCGTACTTGCACGCTATAAATCTCGACCGACAACTTCAGAATTGGTATAGGCGGCTTCCTGAGCATCTGCAATGGAAACCATCAGCTATCAAGAGCGCGCCTTTCAGCTATTTCCTCTTACATCAACAATACCACGTTTCCATGATCCTACTGCATCGTCCTTGGGCCAAATACGGAGCCATTGCTGGCGACGGCACCAGCACAGGATCGCATCCGAGCCCAGCGTCCGCCTCCGAACCCAAAGATGTCCTCGACCAGCACCCCTTTTCTCTGCCCATCAACTCCCCGGGGATGGCAGATCCTCATGCTATGGTGGATGACAGCAGAACAGCACTGTCACGCAGCATCTGCACACAGCAGGCGATTCGTGTGGCACGCATTTTCTGGCAGCATCGCCAACGGTTCGACGGCCGCAAGATCTTCGTCACCGGGATTCAACATGCCGGTACAGCTGCGATCGCCTTGATAGCTGCGCTAGCCTACAATCACAGCGAATCAGATAGGCGCACTTATCTTGGGTATCTCGAAATTCTTTCGAGTGCCGTCAGCGATATGAGCCATACGTACCAACCAGCATCCCGCATGGATGACCTTCTCAAGGCTGTTTTGGTCCAACTTCGAGCTGATATTAACGACTACAATGATGGGATCCAACCACCAATTACCTTGTCGGGTAGTGATAAGAGCCTGCTATCCAGTTCAGGCTGGAGAGGAAATATGGATACAATCTACTCCATCTTGCCAGCAAGACGTGAAGCGGATGCTGGCAGTAGCCAGTCTCACAAAAGGCGCCGTCCATCCACAACCAGCCGCAGGGCATCGGAGTTTACCCGTCCACCACCGCCCTTCTTCCTTACCCAGTCAAATACAATAACATCGCGGGCTTCGAGCCATCGGTCGGCCGGTCAGCATCCCCCAATCGACCCAGCAATGTACTCTTTGGGTAGCGGTGACATGCAAGGCTTCAATTTGGATTTCCTAAACGGCTCGGCGATTGAGGCTGACCTTGATGATGCCTCGGATGGCATGTTGAGACCATCCGAAGACTTCGTGCTCGTTGCTTCTCAATCAGATGGATGGACACTCGGCGGGTTGAACGCAGAGAACACGGCCCAACACGGCGAAGCTGCGTATGACGGGACAGGTCTGGGCGAATGGGCTTCAGGAACAACAAGACCGAACGCAAGCTCCGCACTCGGCGGTTCAGATGCCGTCTCATCGGCTGCACGTGACAACGGGCGGGATGGCGGGGGAAAAGAGGGCGGCGCAGCTGTTCCGCGGGGGCTCTTGAGCGAGAAATTGAATCAAGGTTCATCTGTGAGTACAGGAGACGAGGCTGACAAGTCTCAACCTCTCAACTCGGTTGACTCTGGAAGCATGGATTGGATGGGCAGCGAAGGTGGACTGAACGCGCTGAGTCCAGTCAGCTTGAGTGGATTGGTGCAGAGCGCAATGCCGGATAAAGGAGAAAGCGAGTCTTCTGCGGTCAACAGAAACCATGAGCTAGACTTCTTCAGTTTTTGATGCGACGGGCTCGTGCACGCTAGCAGTCTGGCGACGTTTGTGTACGGTAACTACGAGTTGTGTGTCTCGCAGACTACGGTTGGCTTGTTATTTCATCTGTTTTTCAACGGGTAGGGGTCTGGGAGGTCCGGCGTATCGAGGGGGCTTCCAGGAATTCGAACATAGGCAAGAGACGTGTTTTCTTACTCCATGAGAGACGTTATCTGAGTTCCGAGAGCTATTGGACCGTAAACCCTCCGTCGACCACCAGGCCGGCGCCTTGCATGAAGCTGCTCATATCAGAAGCAAGAAATGTGATGCAGTCTGCTATTTCCTCGGATTTCGCCATGCGGCCCAAAGGTGTTCGGCTGATATCTCGGGCAAGGGGTGATTCGGCATCCTGGGCCATTGTCTCAAGGACAAGCGGTGTTTCGACGTAGCTATTGGACCTCATTAGCGCCTGACCCATCAAACGACTCGTCTTGGAACTTTTCACCCTGGGCAGATTGCGTTGATGCGGATTGCTTTTGGACCGTATGTGTTGGCGTCAGCTTTCGTCAAACCAAGCACTCCTGAGAGAACGCTTCATTAGTAACTTTGAAATATAGCATGGGGAAGAGCGCGACTCACCATGCTTTGCGGTTGTGTATGCTGTATGCGACATGAATCGAGACGGCGATATGATGCCAAACATGGATGCCACGTTGATGATGGTACCACGACCTCGACGGGATCCCAAATCTCTGTCACAGACACCACAAATTTAGTATTGGCATTGGTATTCGAATCTGTAAGACTTACTCTTGGTTTAGCATGGCATTGATCTCTTCTTGCTGGCAACGCCACACGCCATGCAGGTCGACATCGAGAACTTTTGTAAACTCGGCTTCATCGATCTCATGAGTGGCGCGCCCACTGCCTCCAATGCCGGCATTATTCACAGCAATATCTACGCGGCCGAAGGCGGAAATGGTTGCGGCAATGCCAGACCTAATCTCAACGGCATTTTGAACGTTGAGGGATAAAGGGAGAAGCTTGACAGCAGGATAGCGGCGGCGGAGGAGATCAGTGGTGACGCTGAGGGTCGCCTGGTTCATGTCCGCGAGTGCCAGGCGATTGATGCCGTGCTTTGCAAAAGCCAGTGCTGTATGCTGGCCGATACCTATGATGCTTATCAGTATGAAGTTATTCGCTCTCAAGACCCAATGATGGAGCTAGCTTACCAGAAGCAGCACCAGTGATGAATGCGGTGCCGCGGAGAAGAGATGCCATTTCCAAGGTGATTGTTCTGCTGAACGAACCTCATGCTGGAAGAGGCGCGTCCGAGACCAAGACGTCTTAAGAGCACTGAAACCTTGACGGGTGCTCACACCCGGTTGCTTGCTCCCCTCCCTTCAGACATCCTTATGGGTTGTTTGGAGCAATGAGACTGCACCAATCAATTTCACTGCAGCTGAACTGAGGTCGGATTCCTGAGCTGAGACAAAAACGCATCGGTGGGTTTGTGATCCGGATGGACTGCGGGGTGGGCAAAGGCATCGGGTGAGGATATCCGGAGGAGGCCGGGCTCCGGGGCCCGGGTCTTCGGCGCCGCAAAGTCATCGATAGGTATTGCAGCTATTTGTACGGACCGTGGCATTTAACTGTGTATCTCCTGGTCGAGTCTCGCAAAACCCAAGTCAAACCACAACAAGGGATGCACATTGTCTAATGAGATGGTTGGGGGTACAGATGGCACGGCTTATGCACCAACGGGGCAATACGAGCTGGTGTCACATCCTCTAGGCTTTTCCATTGCGCTTTCCCCGTATCTGGAGCGCAGCGACGGAAACAGCGTGTGCATGGGTACACGGCCAAGTTTCGAGACGAAAATAATTGAAATGAAGTAGACTGAAAGAAGCTATCAGCAAAAAGGAGACATCTCTCCGGGCTGTAGGGAGGACCCCCAGATAGAGTTTGTACTGTGCAGCTGCATTACGCCCGTCACCTCCCACCTCCCTGGGCAGGCACAGTGCTGCTGGACTAGCTCCCCGGAGCTCTCTGCCCGGTGGCCCACTGTATGCGGGCACGTGGGGTAACGAGGTGCTGCACAGACAGTGTGAGGTCATAGCCTCAACGGGCAAGCATTGGATGCCTTCGCCTTTCTTTGGCTTCACCATGCCATGCCATACTCACCTTACCTGCCCGCCTTACCGTGCCTCGCCCTGTCTGCTGTTTTGGCACTGTACTCGTGACACCTAGCCGCCGACGACAACAACGACAGCAACAACAACCATAGCTGAACTGCGCTTCCACACACAACCACACACAATACCTACGCGTCCTTCGCATCTCCACCATTGTCGCCGTGCCCCTGTCCGCGTCCCTGACAACCAGCGCACCGACCAGATACCGACCGCGACGCCTTCACTCTCCTCCGCACCTGGATACGTCGAGTACTTCAATCTGGCGCCTTCCCCCCCAGTCGGCCATGGTTCACGCCTCTTTGCTGGTCTGACGACCTAGTATGACAACCAACCTGACCGAGTCACAATGTCGCTTATACCATACCATCCGCGCGAGGGCCGCGAAATCGTTCTGTGAGTTTCTCTTCCGCCTTGGGCCATGTCTTTGCTGACGTCCGTGTTTAGCCGTCACCGCAATGCAATAGTAGTTCGCGACCCCTCTTCCCAGCGACTCGAGATTCGAGGCCTGTCCGAATGTCCTACATGCCGACAACCTTTGCGCTCCTCCTCCCCCGATCGTCAATTCGACAGTGCGCGCCACCACGATTCCTTCGTTGACCCCAACTACTTCCGCATGCTGCGAGCTGGTCACCACAGTGTTCGAGCCGAACATCCACCTTCTAGCCCAATCCGCAGATTCGTGCAGCCTATTCTGGCGACTCCCCAACCCGCCGTTTTCGAGGACACACAAGATGTTGAGTTCATATCAAGCACACCCGCCGTCCAGGAAGGAAGTCGCATCCGCCGCGAAGCCTTCAGTCCGAATTATTTCAAAACCTTCTTCGTCGAAGAGAAAGAGCTTGGCCGAGGCGGAAAAGGAGTTGTCCTGCTCGTTCGTCATGAGATTGACGGCTGTCACCTAGGTACGATGTGTTGCTCACGGAGAATCAAACATGACAGTCTAACTGCTCTTAGGCCACTTCGCATGCAAGCGTGTGCCAGTCGGAGACGACCATGCCTGGCTCGAAAAGGTGCTCATCGAGGTTGAGCTGCTTGCCAAACTGTCCCACCCAAACCTGGTTTCCTACCGCCACGTTTGGCTCGAGGACGTTACGTTGACGAGATTCGGCCCCAGCGTGGCATGCGCCTTTATTCTTCAACAGTATTGTAATGGTGGAGATCTGCTTCAATACATCATCGGCGAGCAGCCAAAGGAGACTACGAAAGAGCAACTCAAGGCTCAAATGCGTAGGAAGTCCAAAGGTCAACTCGAAATTCCACGCGATCAATTCGCCTCTCAACGGCTCCTTTCTTTCGAAGAAATCTTCTCCCTTTTCAAAGACATCACATCTGGACTGGCCTACCTTCATGCGGCCAACTACATTCACAGGGACCTCAAGCCGAGTAACTGCCTGCTACATCGTGAGGGGAGTGGCATGATCTGCCTGATCAGTGACTTTGGCGAGGTTCAGTCCGAGCACATGGTTCGCAAGTCCACCGGCTCAACCGGAACCATCTCCTACTGTGCGCCGGAGGTCTTGAGGAGGGACTCTGTGGGACGCTACGGCAACTTTACAACAAAATCCGACATATTCTCTCTAGGAATGATTCTCTACTTCATGTGTTTTGGCCGGCTACCCTACCGTAGCGCCAACACTATCAACGAGGAGTTAGAAGACATTGACGCCCTGCGCGCTGAGATTTCGGATTGGCAGGGCTTCCAAGATGAGCGCAGAGAGCGTCCTGACCTTCCCTCCAAGCTGTACCAACTTCTCAAAAGGCTCGTCGCACTGGATCCTTCTCAACGCCCAAGCGCCAACGAAGTCTTAGCAGCCATGAAGACCGAATCCACCGTTGATAGCGTCCCTCGAGGCAGAAGCTCAAGTCCGCCGGTGGGTCTTCACAACCGCCGCATTCAGAATCTCGATTCTCCAGTACCTCCTAGTACACCTGTCCCAGGTTCGTCATCCACGGCACCATAGTGATCACGCTTTCTATCGAACTGACTTTGTCACAGATCCTCAAAAGCAGTCCAGATTCTCATCCTCTCAGGAGGGCTATAACATTCCTAGCAGGGCTGCAGAAAATAGCTCTCCCCGTCCAAGCCTACAGACAGGTATGCAAAGGCTCTCGGATCCTAGCTCACCGCGGCATCGTCCCCAGGCCCAGACGATGGTGGCCTCGCGCAGCCAGGACAGCTTTCCTCGTCTGTCTCCGGAAATTGCTGTGTCCGAAGGAAGCGCCGAGTCTGTCAAAGATGAGCCGTTGGGTTCTCCACCGTTGCTGATGCCACCCCCTCCCGGCACAAGATTTGCCGCCTTTCAACACAGGCTAATGGTCGGATGGCTCCGAGCAGGTCATCTAATCCATCACAATGCCAGTCCTCTGCTGGTGGTCACTCGTCTTGGTCTCTTTCTCAGTAAACTTTACAGCCTCACGCGTCCTTGTTGGCCTTACATGGTGGACACAAGTGTAGGGGCGTTTCTGGTCGTAATTGCCGCGCTTGATCTCGGTCTCGCGAACACCGATACGTCACGGGAGCTGAGATACCGGCAAGATTTCAGGATACACAATGGGCTGCCATGGGCTTGGGGTGTACGTGGCACCGTGCTCCTTGCGGTCATACACCTCGTCGTCCTGTGGGCTGCCGGCCACTGGAATGCTCTGTGCACGACAGGCGGCAGCCGCTCGTGGAGCGTCCACGACGACAACCTGTTGCCATAGAACATCCGCGTATATGCATTTCTCGATGTTTGGGGGTTGAGGCAACGAGTCCAACATTCAGAAGCTCACAGTGTATTCTGGTGTATATTCCGCTCAACATCAGGGCGCACATCTCGACTGGTTCAATAGCAGATCTCTGTTTGCGATCTCATGCCACGGTGACAAGCGTCAACCACACGGGGCGCTTCAGCGAATCGGCACATTTGATAACGATTATGTTGATCACTAACAGGGGGTATACCTATGGCTATCTTCCGAGTAGTCTGGCTAGCACGGTGGTGATTCATTATGAGTTTAATTCGGTATGGCGTTAGAGAGGCAATTAAAAGTGGACGAATTCTCGAGAAAGATAATTGGTTTATAGGCGCTTTTAACGGACGTGGCATTTATGGACGGGCCGGCTTTAAGATGCATCGCACATGTCTCCCCGCCTTTGACCCCCATGTTGTTACGAGAGCTTCTAAGGCTCCACCGATTCGACGGCAACGGCCGCATCGTACGAGGAGGTACTTTTTGCAGTTTGCCATTCACGACGTCAAAAGGCAGCAGCGCACTGCCGGCGACCTATCCCGTGCCCAAGGCTTATGACTTTTGTAGGGTAGGATGAACGAACGACAGTTCCTTCCGGGTCTCGGGCCATGGACGCTTTACTCTTTTCAGCCCACCACAATCGAAGCTGCTCTGGGTTGAGTTGTTTGGCCAGGTGACTTGTCGAATCGCGTCCCGACGACAAATACCTTCACCGCCCCCAACACGTGCATGGTAGTGATAACATTCAAACGCTTCGCCTCTCAGCCAAAGAAAGCATACAGTATAGGACAGTGAGACTCAGGATCTCTCATGAATACAGGAGCACAACCCCATGCCCCGCCCTCGCAGCATTCATGTGTCTTCGCAAAGTCTTCATTCATCACCGGTGCGGCCACAAGATCACCGAGCTCCTGGAGCCGTGTGATGGCATCGACGGCTGTCCTGGCGTCGTAAACAAGCCCGTCATTACCAATCAGTACACGTGCATCATACGGAGTTGCATCTGGTATGGGCGGTTTTGAGGGTCTTTATCCGGAAAGCATCTGCTAATGGTGAGTTTCGCGGCGATTTCACGATCTTTGGGCCGTCGACCTGATGATGTGACGATAGTCTGTACCCAGGTGGAAATATCAAGTTTTTATGTGCCTGAGTTATTCTGTAGGGTAGCTGGGCCCCTGCATTAGCGGCCTGCGCTGCGAAGCCAGAAGGCATTAGGAAAGGTGCCCATCTTGAAAGTGGGATGATCGTATGAGCCACTGATAGCAATTTGCTCAGTCACAACCAATGTATATGGTTTTAAATCGTTCAATGTATCCTAAGCACCTGTCTAGTATTCTTCGGGGTATCAACACAGTTCAGACCATGGCGTTCAGGGGTATTGCCATTCAATGCTCCGGACCTACTCCCAACACCTTCTGCGCCCTAAATCAAAATCAACAGTAAATCAGCGTCTTACGTGTGAAAGAGCCAATGCTAGGCTATGTCTCTCTCGTGGAGAATCTGCCACTTGGTGTGACAGGAGTTGATGTGCGCCGCCAACGACTGTGACGAATCATACGTCTCCGTCTGTCCGCTTGAAACACAAAGAATACACCCATAGACGTCCTTGTCGGAGTGCGACTTGGCAAGAAATCGGTTCGACATGCAGAACCCCTCCTTCAGCACAATAAAGTCTTTCTTCTCGGGCAGGACTGGCTTCCAACGGTAACCGCACGTACAACTCTTATCCTCTGGAATGGGCTTCGACAAGTCAACCTGGAGCACCATTGCCTTGGGGCAGAACATACTGAAAACGCTGACTTTGGGACGGAGGACTGCCGATGCATCACCACCACCACCACCAGCCTCTGAGGGCGCCAGCGTTGACGGGGCAAAGATGGATGCCACATCGCTGACAATGAGCTTGGAGTCTGGCGGGGTCGGCGGAGGCGAAGGCGGCTCCGATTGGAGGCGGGGTTGATCGGTGCAGATGGTCATCTTGTCGTCATCATCGTTGTTGGAATCGATAAAGCTTCCGGGGCGTCGGGACAACAAGCTACTTTGGCGAGACCGAGGCTTTGGGACAGGCAGGTCTTGAGGGATAGAGCGACCCACGGCCATGCGGCCGTAAAGGTCCGTTAGTGCCTTGACTGAGGCAATGCGGATAGCCTCAGATGTTTGAAGGATATCGGCGATATTCAGCGTCGCTGTCCGGCAGGTGGCGTCAACAGCCCGGCGCAAATGGGAAACGCGACTTTTGAGGTTGAACAACTGGTTGCATAGAAGATCCGTACAAGTGACTGTGCAGTTCCGATATTAGACAAATCCCTGGTTGTAGTCATGAGGACGATACACACCATCTCCTTTGGAGAAATCGGGCCCTACAATGGAGAAGGCAATATCAAACGTCTCTTTGATCTGTGTTTCGGCAGCGTCAAGAGATGTAGTCAAGGCGCAGGTAACGACGCCTTTCTGCCCAGCGGGACCCGTCCTCCGGTAATGGTTTTGCCGGGATCGTTTTCTTTTCCACAGCGTGTAGTGTTGCGCGCCCTCTGCGAAGAGGTCGGTCAAAGCAGACACGCATCCGATGACTGTGGTGGGTTCCATTTCGGTTGTCACCTCGACAGCATGATGGAGGTGAGAATTGGGAAGGTTATTGCAGCATACACAGCAGAGTGCGACACAAAGACAATGGGATCGAAGATGAGAAGAGTCCTTGACGGCGAGAAGAGAAATGGGAGCGCGGGCCAGGCCGGGGAGGAATGTCGGAGAGAGAACAGAAAGTGGCACAGCAGGCAAACATGCAATCAATATAAGCTGAAAATTGGGGGTTGAGCTGAGGAGGAGGGCCGGTCTGGTCTGCGGCTGCCATGCACGCGCAGAGGGTGCAAACAAAGTGCTTATCTCCCGGAGAGGGGAAGAGGCGTCCACGACTCAAGGCAAGCTTTTGGATGATGGGGTCAGAAGCGAATTATGTCTTGGTTGTGTGAGAAGAATTGGCTTTGAGGCGGATGCGAGGTCAAGTCCCGGCTGGCTGATCGACAGCAGCTAGGCGCCCTAGCACCTGGGTAGCAATGGGGAAGCCGGCTTGGGAGCTGGGGCTGGGGCTGGAGACAAGACAAAGGGCACCTCAATTTTGGTGGGCAAAGGCAGGTCGACTGGAGGGAAAGTGTGGCGTTGGTTGGTGGACGCCAACGTGATGAGCGAACGCCAAACGGGCGCACGGGAAGTTGGGGGGCGGGTAGCCGACATGACATGATGCATGGCAAGGCAAGGCATGGCATGGCGTTGGGACGTGGGAGTGAGCAGGGACAAGGACAAGCGTTGCAGTCGGCTGTTGGTGAGAGTCATGTGTCCATGGACACCACCATCTCCGATTCCTCTTGCTGGCGAAGATGCTACTGGTGATGATGGTGATGCAGCGGGCAGAAGATGGCCGATGGATGATGGATGATGGATGATGGTGTGTGTGGACGAACGGCGGCTCGGTACCTTGGATCCCTTACCTAGGTATTGCCTAGCCTGGCACCTAATTAACTGACCCTCTCAGTGTCTTAAGTAGGTACCTAATGAGATGCAAAGACGGACGCAGGGCGGCTGAAGCACGGAAGGATTCCAGGGTTGTGGTTCACTAGGTAGCTGGACGTTTTCTGCGCTCCTGGATGCAAGGGGTCGAAGTCGCAGTGGATGTGTCTCGGCGTTTCGTGTCATTTTCGAGGGAGTTGGGACAAACATGTGTCAAAAAATAGTGCCTGCAGAAGTTCGGACGGCCCACGAGGCCGGTGCGATCGATGACGGTGGCATCCGTGCTCCTGGGGATTGAAAGACATCCACACGTGGAAAAGACACACCAACGTTCGAACAACGGAATCAGAAGTGAGGAGAAACCTGGTGGTGTTTTGTAAGGCAAAAGTGCATCCATACTCCGTACCTATCTAGGCACCTCCGTAGGTAGGTAAGTTAGGTAGGGAGAAAGCAGAAACCATGATCCATGTAATTGATTTGGGCGAGTCTGGCGGGCGCTACGGCACGCTAGAGAGGCTCCACTAATGTCGATCCGCCAGCGCCGACGCCGAAGGTGACAGACCGACCTAGGTACCTAAGATTGTGCCAGCTGGCGACCCGTGTCGCGGGCAGCACAGCACCTCACATCCAAGGTAGCTGCTCCCATCAGCACTTCTCTCCATGCTGCGTCCCGTCCCCAAAAGTATCATACACCGACATGCCTCTTCCTCCGCGCAATCGTCAGGCATGCGACAGATGCCACAGCCAAAAGCTACGATGTCCGAAGCAGGCCGGCTCTGCCGTATGTGCCCGGTGCTCCAAGGCCAGCGTTGCTTGTGTCTACAGTCCCGCTGGTCCACGTCCGACAACTCAAGACTTCGCCATCCTGGAAGCCCCTCTCGTCGCTGAGACCTCAGCTTTGGACTGGGAACCCTTCTCTTTTGACCAGCTCCTGACTTCTCAGCCAATATCCCAACTCAACATCTCTCTCAGCGAAAACACTCGCGAAGCCCAACTTGATCCGAGAGCCCGATGCTTCGAACAGTTGTCCGCCATGATGCTCAAGCTGAACGAAGCTTCCAATGGCCTGCCTCCAGTCTCGAAGCTACACGTTGCCGCTTCCGACTTGAACTTGTTCTGTACCCAAGTCAACGAATCGTACGGCTTGCGCCGCTCACTCGAGTTGATGCTTGGCCAAACCCAGCAGTTGATCGAATTGTATCCCGAGGCTATTCGCTTGGCCGTCGCGTACGATGCAGCCCCTGAATGCATCCTTCCCAATTGTGTCCATACCTTCAAGTGTCGTACTGATTTTGGATCAGACCCATTTGAGGCGGCCGACCGCCCGTCAAGCGTCGACTTCACCTTGCTCAACCAGCTAATCTCATGTCACTACCGCCTTCACGACATTACAGAACTCATATTCTCGCACGCTCAAGTATGCTTTAAAATATCTGTCGCCTCCGCAGAATACGACGGCGTTGAGAACCATCGATTCGATATACCCGAACTTCGCATCGGTTCCTTCACTCTTTCCCCTGGATCCTCGCCTTCTGTCATGTCCGCCATCCTGGTTGATCTTCAGTCCTCCCTAGCTCGCTGCGTCCCCAAGATTCAAGCCTCGTTAGAGGGAAAGGCCGGCAGAGAGTGCCAGGTACTGTCTTTGCAGTGCGACATGTTGAAAGAGCGTGCAGACTCCATTGTGGATCGCCTCACGAAACTCAGGGCCGCCGTTATCGAAGCCGGCATCATAACATGAAGCCCGCACTCCATCCATCACCTGCACAGCTCCTCTGAGATGCCCCAGAATCAACCACATCACTGGAGATACACCAAGAGAGCCTCGCTGGCCCCAACGCTGAGGGTGACTTTACCCCCCGAGACCGCCGCTGTCTCGAATGTCTCCGTGCCGCCGGTAATGCAAGTGCCGTTGTTGAAGTATTGGCCGCCGATCGACGCGTTCCCGCCTCGATCTTGTCTTGCTTCGGCGCTGGCCGCAGTAACCCGCTTGGACCGGACACTCGTCGCTGACAGCCCGCTGAGAACGAAAGATTCGACAGCTCGCGTGCCGGAACCGCTGTAATAGTTGGAGTTGTACAGAAGAACTCGAAGTGGGGCTCCCGCGGCGTCATAGGTGGCATACGCTGCAAAGGCAGACTTGCCATCATCCAAGGCGGCGACGTGCTTAGCCCCAGCCAGAAAAGCTGTTGCCGTGTATGCGCCGACATAGGGGTTGCCCATGGAGTATCTTCCAAAGAAGCTGTAGGGGTTATTGCCAATGGTTCCGTGATGGAAGTATACGCGGGAGACGTTTGACGTGGCTAGGCGCACCGCATAGTCCATCACCCACAAGGCAGCCCCAAACGTCGGGGACACGTTTGCCGCACCTCCTCCAGCGACTGTTCAGAGGTTAGCATGTTCAGTGGCTCAATCAAGGGGAGGGCGTCATCTCACCTGAGTTAGTCTCTCCAAAGACATACGGCTTGTTCACCGCCAAGGCACTGGCGATATCGCGATCGAATCTTACACCGTTCAGCATAAGGCTTCGACGCACTTGGGCACAGAAACTTACAAGTGGATATTGGTTGCAATGTTCGCGTGAGACATCAAGCTGGATACGGTGCCGCCGGGATAGTTGTGGTGGGCATACGTCTTCACATACTCCCTCACCGTGGCATTTCCGCTGGCAATCAACTCTTCGGCCCCCCACGTGGGAGGAAGGGAGTTTGAGTTTCCGGCTTGGATGATATTCTTCTTGCCAATGGCATTTCCGACGATGATATCCCAATTATTCTGCGACGCGGCATCCACGGCAGGGTTCCACGTGCCAGAAGCAATCGGCTGGACTCCCGACCAATCTGAGATAAACTTTGTCAGTTTGATTAAGAATGGATCCCGGACTTCGAACTTACACTCAGGCTCATTTCCGAGTTCAATCGCATAGAGATTTTTCATCTCTGCGACGGCGACCTTGGCTGCTGCAATGGTATTGTCGATGTTGTTCTTGCCTCTGTTCAGTCCCAGAGTCACGTCGCCACCGTATGTCGCAGCCAGCTTCATGAAATTCGGCCCGAAGGTCAGAGTTGCGGGCGCATCGTTTGGGCTCGCAACAGTGTACACAACATACGCTGACGAAGAGGCATCATAGGAGGCTCGGTCCTGGGTTGTCCCGCCGATCCGGATAGGTGGCCAGGCACCGCTCAGCGTCTTGAGGTTGGTCAGACATTGGTTTGTTGCGGTGACGTTCTGGAAGTACGAGGGGAAGGCAAAGAACTCGAATCTGGACGGATATCAGCAAACTAGCATGGCGCAAAATTCAAGTGGACTGACGAGATTCCGACGGGTGCTGTTTCGAGAGGCGCATAAGAGAGGCCGCCGGTGTTCACTTTACTGGGCACAGTGAAAGTGGCGGCCGAAACGAGTTGCGCCGTTGACGCCAGAAAAGCGAGCGAGGGACCAGACAACATGGTTGGAGAGCTTATGGGCGCGACTGAGCGAGTTCCAGCGATGATTGCGCGATCATATGTCCGGCGTTACAGTCAACGTCTTCGGGGCCTTCGGAGCTACTTATACTACTATTCTGATCTCGCCAGCCAGCATGCAGATAAGCCATGCTACAAAGGATCTGCCCATCATCAAGCCTTAATTTTTCCACCACATTAATGAGGTCTTTTCATGACAAGCTCAATACTTGACGTGCCTCAGCCGACAGCCCTTGCATAAGCGCTGGCCTCCTGCCGGTCCGGCCCCCTCATTACAGAAAGATTGAGCTTGACTCGAACAACACGTATTACGAGCATCTGGGCTTCGATACCCCCTATTGGAGCTTTTACCACATGCCGTTTTGCCGAGAGGTCAGGGTTCACGATGTCTGCCACGAGGGCGGCGAGGGGTGCAAGGCCACAAGCTTTCCCCGCACCTTAACCCGTCGACTTAAGCAATCAAGCTACTGTAGTGGGTTACATCGCGTCCTTCGCCACGGGGATCAGCCAAAAATGGCAGGATAGAAGTTCTTCACCTAGCCGCACCTGGCTGCGAAAAGCTATGGAGGTGACCAGTGTTCCAGTCACCCTTCGACCTTGTTTGAACAGGATGAGAATGGGCTCCATGTTCTGCTGAGTGTAGCGCCCAGATTCTATCAGGGAAGCTGACAACAGGCGGGGTCTGATTTCTCGATATTGCACGTTGTGTCGCCCTGACTCGAGGACCCACAGATATAAGGAGCACAACGGTTATCACATCAGAGTTCGGGTCTTGAATGTGACGCAAGTATCATACAACTCTGATCTGATGTCTCCCTACTATGGCTAACTAACCATTGTCTCTGAATCCTGGGTGCTATTGGACGATTTGAGGACGTCAACATGCCCTTGGCTACACCAGTCGACATTCTCGATGCCTTTGGGAAGATCTGAAGGCTTTTCCCACGACATGCCGCTCGCACTGCAACCTAACACACCAGTGGATCGCCTCCCGGGGTTTTGTAGTTTTGAGGAACGGGGTAATAGATGTTCACGACGAGACCCGGGTCGTTGGGGCTATATGCGCCAGGGAACGACATCAAGTTGGGCTTGTACGTGCCTGTGCCGCCGCTGACACGGAGCTGGGCGCACGAGATGTACAATTGAGCGCCGCCGACGCTACTAGCGCTGTGAAGAGCAATGTGTTCGACGCGCAGGAAGTACTCGCCATCTGCGAGGCACCTGGGAATCTGGACGTTAAGCGTCGTTTTGCCTGGGGCATAATTGTTAATACGCGCGAGAGAGGCACAACAAGAGATGAAGGTGCTTGCCTGAAGTGGGCCAGGTCAGACCGTTAGAGGTGACTGTCGGGCCGTCGTTGTAGACCTTGAACCATACTTTTCCGGAGCCATCGAAGTTTGTGATGGAACCAGAAGGCGCCTTGGCCATGTAGAAATTGACTGGTCCGGGATGGGAGACGGACGCCTTGGCGTTGTAGCCTTTGAGAAACTGATTGTCAGTGAGCTTGCCTTTGATCGTGAATGCCAACTTGAACACACCAATCGTGGATCCTGCAGTCACATCCAGCACCGTGGCACCCTCGTTACCTGGGGCTAGCTGGTAGCATGTCATCTGCTGGGAGGTCACGTCCGTGACCGGTCCGTTGGACTGGTAATTCGCCGTCTTGCGGACGACTTCCCAATCTTGTGTGGTCTTGCCATTGTAAGTGACGGATGGAAATACATCTGAGAGGGTCAGTAAGTAGCACAAGGTGCCCCCAAGATGATAGGAATGTCGTACAGTGAGCAGAGGCAAGGCTGGCCAACGCCACAACCACCGAGGCCTTCATAGTGACGCTTAGGGGCTGTTGTTAATAGGTGGCTTCGGAGGAGGAGCAGCAGAGGATGGAAGATAATGTGCATCAATACGCGCAGGAGTTTCACCCGAATCCGTCACCAGATGCTGAACTTATACCTGTGAAGAGCTACAACGCAGATCCTGAACAAAAGGGAGAAAGTACGGCATCTACATATCAAATGACCAGACCTAAAGCACACGTACCATGGTTACGATGCTACCGGCGATAGAACAGCCGGCGGGTAAAGTCGCTCATCCAGTCAACAGTGACCTGCAATATCATCCGAGGTGTCCTAACAAATTGATCCAGCCGGCAGTGGCATTCTATATTGCTAATATCTGACTGGAGGTTGCGGGCAAGACGCATGGAGGCATGGGATTTGTTGAACTGGTTTTCTTGTAAACGGCATTTGGTTTGGAAATTGATCCCGACGCCCGACAGCCAAGTGTGATGCAAACTATCTTGAAATTCGCGCTTCTTTCTTGCGCATACCCTTTCTACGAGAACGCCGGATAATATACAAGTCTTGTGTCCCTCCTGTTTGCTAATGTAAAGCCAATCTGACTATGTAAGACCGGCCACCTTAACTCGTCAAACATCTTGTGACGCTGTTTGATCAGTCATCGTCGGTGTATCTAGGCCCGCTGGCCGCCGGTGTCTCGGGCGCGCCATAGGCAGCAGGGGTGGGGGCGCCGTAATAGCCAGAAGAGGAGGCGAAACCACTGGCCGCCGGAGTGGGAGCACCAGCCGCTGGTGTAGGGGCCGAATCAGCAGCCCAGCCTCCTTGCCATCCTCCACCAGGAGTCGGAGCACTCGCGGCCGCTGGGGTGGGTGCCGAATAGGCACCCGGTGTGGGAGCATTGAGAGCACCGGGTGTGGGTGCACCTAGGAGGTTTCCACCCGGCGTCGGCGCGTCGTAGCCAGAGTTGCCTGGGGTGTATCCCCATGAATCACTACCGCTGGCGCCGGGAGTGGGTGCAGAGCCTCCATAGGCAGGCGTCTTCGAGCCTGAGCCCCAGGCATCGCTCCCGCCGTAAGCTGGCGTCTTCGACCCCAATCCAAAAGCGTCATGTGCAGGTGTCTTTGCGCCTGACTGCCATGCCGGAGTCCTTGAACCTCCGCCATACGCTGTTCTGTTACCATCGCCATAAGCAGTTCTTGAGCCGTCAGCCCAGGCGGGAGTGCGAGAGCCGGATCCGTAGTCCTGGCTGCTAGACTTCCAAGCAGGTGTTCTGCCGCCAGTCGGTGCAGGAGCTTGCTTTATATTAGCAAAGTAATCATGGCATCTCATGTTGGGCATTGACTCACTTCGTGAACCCCACGCGGGCGTCCTCTCCGCGCCGCTAGAGGCGACTGGTGTACGTCCTCCTTGCCAGTCTCCACCACGCCCACCTCCAGGAGCGCCGCCTTGGCCCGGTCTTGGACCCCGTCCATTGATGTCGATCTTGGCACCGGTATTCTTGTCCTTGAAGCTAAGATGGTCCTTGGGCACCGTGATGGTCTTGCTCTTGGTGTGCAGCTCAACACGAGCGTGAGTTTCCGTGGCATCTTTGACGATACCCAAAAGACCCTTGTAACCACCCTTCCGAATGATGACAGTTTGGTTGATAGAACGATCACGGCCGAAAGTCTTGGGAGGTGCCATCTTGCTCTCGGCGCCGCCAGGGTTGCGCTTCATCGCCGGGTTCATTTGATCCAAGTTGGGACCCGCTGAAAGCACGCGTCCACCCTTGGCAGCGATAGTTGTGACATTGCTAGCCTTGGTAACGAACACACCGGCGTTCTCGTTATTGTTGTTGCTGTGCAAGAATACGTATGCGCGGTGGATGTGAATGATTTTGCCCTGCCGTTGTTGGGCGCCATACTCCCTGACAACATCATCGAGCCGGATCTCGGAGCCGTTTCTATCGGCAGCCACAGCAACCTTTCTCTTCGGGAGTTTGTTGGCAATTTGGGATGGCATGACCTGTCTAGTGTCTCCGTTTTGATCGAGCACAACCACTGACTCGCGATCGACCTTAACGATGCAGCCCACAGTGGTCGGGTCCAGCTGAACGAGGTCAAAGAGCTCGTACTGACCCAACGCACCTTGGCCGCCAATATCGCTGGCTTCACGCAGATCTTTGCTGAAGACCGTGACCTCCGTGTTGGTTTGGTCGGTCAAGAAGGTTACTCGGTCTTCGGAAATCTTGACAACCATACCAACTTCGTCGCGGAATCGACTGCCGCTGGTAACCTTGACATGATCTCCGATCTTGAATCTCTTTCTCAAGCCCTTGGTAGGGACCTCAATGACCTGACCTACGAGGTCTCCCTCCGTAACCTGCATCGTGACGATGTCGCCCTGGACGTTTGTTGCTTTTCCAACGACGCCCTTTTGCTCACCATCGTAGACTTCGATGACATCGCCGGGAAGGTAAGTGACGTTGATGTTGCTGTCCTTGAGGCTGGCAGCAAGGGCTTTGAGATCGAGATTTTCGGTACCATCCTCAGCGCCGGAAGCGAACCTAGTGACTTCCTCTAAAGTGGGGTTGACGTCCGTGACAACTAGCTGCTGGATCTTGATATCCTTCACCTGGAAGCCGTTCTCAAACTCATCACCCATGTATGTCCAAACCTTGGTCGTCGGGTTTCCTTGGATATGCCGGGGGTGACGTTTTCGGGCCTCCGTCTCGTTAAATAAACGCTGTGGCGGTCTTGGTCCAGGCACGCCAACGGGGCGCTTCCGTTTGCCATCAGAGGTAAGGGCGGCAAGGGCATCATCTCTCATGCCGTAGTCAAGACGCGGGATGAAGCGGACTCGGGCTTCAAGACCATTTTCGGTAACGTCGATGACTTGCGCCAGGTCACCGGCGTGCTTGGCTGGCTTGCGAAGCCGGACCCAGGCACCGGGCTCGAGAGTGGGCGTCTTGGTCACACGGAGCAAGTCGGGCATGTCCTTGATGTCGACGAGAATCATCTTTGACCGAGGGTAGACGTTGAACATGCCGTCTAGCGCAACCATAATATCCGTTGAACGATTGGCCTCGACGTAGATGTAGCCTTTCATGACGGAGGTTGGGCCGCCACGTTCGAAAGCCGAAATGATAGCCAACTCATCCTTGGTGCCCATCCGTTCATCGATACGCTTCATGATTGAGTAGACGACTTCTCGCTCCTTGCCCTCCTTGCACCTAACAGCCCAGATCGTAGGATCCTCCACACTAGGCATCAGGAGGCGCTTGGGGACAACAGTGGAATCGCCGAAGCCCTTGTTGGGGCGACGGTTACCGTAGCGCTGTCGAAGAATTTCGGCCTGCTTCTCAGCATCCATGCTGGACTCCATCTCGCGTCGGCGATCCAGCTCGCGGTGCCTTCGGTCATCGTCGAGGCCTCCACTTTCGGCAATGTCGTCAGGATGAGCGTTGTCGATGAAGTCCTCTATCTCTTCACCGTCTTTCTCCTCATCCTCGCCATCTTCTTCGTCCTCGACCTCGGCCTCGATATCGAAGAAGACGGCGCGACGATCCCTGCGACGCTTGCGACGATGTCCCTGTAGAGTAAAGAAAACATTAGCAGTGTATCAATCTGCGGAGGAAACGCAGAACAAGTCGGCCAGATGCTCGAAGCTTGACGTATCCCCCTGTTAAAAGGAACAAGGAATGCGAAATGCGAAAGCGGAAGGCTTACCTGCTGAACATCATCCTCGTCTTCTTCATCCTCGTCGTCCTCTTCGTCATCGTCGTTTTGGCCACCCTCCTCGTCGTCTTGCTCATCATCCTCATCGTCATCTACTCGTCGAGATTTGGGGGCAGCGGCGGCGTCGTCATCGTCAGCAGCAGGGCTGCTCTCTCGCGCATCGCTACCCGCATGTCGCTGACCAGAGTTGTGGCTAGGTTCGTCGTCAGAGAGATCGGCAGGCGCAGGGTTGAAGTCATCCTCGTCGTCCGAGTCATCGTATCGGTTGTGGTCGTTCGAAGCCATCTTGAAGGCAATTAGAAGAAGCGAACGTTGTTGGCCTCAAGATTTTGGATGGCGACGTCAGGCGAAGACAGGTTTCGTTTGGCTCTGCTGGCGCAGAGTTGTAGAGAAGAGAAGGCCACTTCGAGGCTGGCACTCTTCCAAGGGGTTCGTTTGTATTAAATATCTGGACGTAAGAAAGGACAACCGAGGGGAAAGAGCTACCATACAATCGACGGCTGGGTTGGGAAGGCAAAGGATTGAGAATAAATTGTAGGACGAGTCGAGGACGGAAAGCTCAGCCATGGTTACCTTCACGCGAAGGAGGCCCAGATTCCGTCTGAATACGGTTTAGCGTCAAAAGACACCTGAGGCAGGCCGGTTGTGGTTCGCCTGTGCAGCGTGCTGCAGGCAATCAAGGTGCCCCACATAGGTGGGAAGAATAAGTGCTGAGGTCGGTTCCTTACCTTACCTTAGGTAAGGCACCTGAGTACGTGTCTTTAAGTAAGCCCAGCTGAAAAGGCGCCGCGAGCACCTAGCAAGGGAAACCATAGGTCGTTCTCCCCGATACAGTCAGTCTAAGAGAGGTTGAGCCGGCCCAAGCCTCGGCCTCTTTATGTCCAGCAGCAGTGGGAATCTTTCAAACAGAATAGCGACCTCCGCACGAGGATGCTGCGTAAAACTTCCCCAGTCTCGAAGCTTCAATCACTGATGGCATCTTAATGTTCACTGCCGGTTTTCGCTCGATATTTTAGTGTGCTATTGCTCCCCGGATACTACTAGTTAAGGTAGTTTTTGTAGCAAGCCTGTCATGTCGCCAAGTTCAAACATGAAAGCGATAGTAATCAACGACTTTGTCAAGGTCAGTGGGTCGCCCACAATGTTAACAGACCAGACTGATCGAGTCCAGGACTTTGACGAGATCACGGTCGCTGAGGTCGAGAGACCTGTTCCCAATTCGAATGAGGTGCTCGTACAAGTGAAGGCTGCCGGCATCAATTATGTGGATACGCTCTATGCATGTGCTTCCCTTCAAGTTGCTGTACCCATCGACTAACGGGACCGCGTGCAGGCGAAAGGCAAACATCAGAATAACCAATCTTTGGTCCGGCCACCATTCATATTGGGTCTTGAGTTCTCGGGAGTAATTGTCTCGGCACCATCGGATTCGGGCTTCCGCCCTGGCGACAGAGTCTTTGGAGGGCACACTGGCTCATACAGCGAATTCATATGTCTTCCTCGTTCAGATTCTCTGCATCACATGCCGGCCAAATGGACGTTTCCGCAGGCTGCTGGGTTGGCAGCGACGCTACCCGTCTCTTTTGCCGCACTTATGCAAGCCGGCATCAAAGCTGGCCAAACAGTTCTCGTACACGCTGCAGCAGGCGGTTTGGGCACCATGGCTGTCCAAATTGCTGCCGCTCTGGGTTGCCGTGTAATCGGTACAGCTGGGTCCCAAGCCAAATGCACCGTGGCTACGCGGTGCGGAGCTCATGCTTGCGTAAACTACCTCGAACACACGGCATGGTGGGAGCAAGTACTAGAATTTACTGATGGCAAAGGAGCTGATATTGTTTTTGATCCCGTCGGCCTCGTTGACCCTAGCTTGAGATGCATCGCTCATCGGGGGAAAGTGTTGGTTGTTGGTTTTGCAGGTATACAAGACAACATGGAACGAGTAGCTATGAATCGCGTTCTACTGAAGCAAGTCTCGCTCATTGGCTATGTGGGTTCCTCCTTTCACTCAAGCATTGTCCGTTTGCTGATAGAGGCACGCAGCGGTATGGCGAAAGTTCTCGTCGGTATCCTCAGGAGCAAAAGGCCACCTGGGATGGGCTTCAGCCGTTGATGGAAAGCGGGAGTATACAACCCGTGGTTTACGACACGCATTATTATGGGCTTCAGAGTGTACCTCGGGCGCTGAGAGACATGGTGGATCGGAAGATTTGGGGCAAAGCCGTCGTCACAATGGCCAGCGGTTCACCACTGGCAAGGCTCTGAAGTCCGGAAGTGCTTTGCAACATTTTTTGTGCAGGAAAGACACCGCACAATGATTATGACATTTCAAATCCACCTCCTTCCTTTCCCCTATGCCCGCCGGTATATAGCCATCCGCCATTCCAAGATTTTGTTTCTGACCACCAACCGAGAAGCCGTGCTGAGCCGGGGGGGTAAGATTCTTCGTCCGCACTATGAGATACCGTAAGGTACGAAGCTCCGACCACGGTAGCATTCCTCCCACAAGTGGCTCAGGGCCCATTCCCAAACGCCAGGCTTCGCGATGCATATACCACAATTGACCAGCCAGATCTATGAACAGGGCAGCAAGACGGCCAGATGATGCCACTCTTCGTCATCCCGCTCTTCAGACACCAGACCGCCCGCATGTCTTGACACCCCAAAGACCCCTGCCTGCGCTTACTCCCAACCACTCTCCTTGGTCGCTGGAGAGATGCGGTACCCACGCAAGGTTGCCGACTTCGTAATCACACTGCCAGCTAGCGAATGGGCTTCGTGTGCTATCGGGCTGGCCGGCGCCATTGGCAGCAGGACCGCCACCGAGGGAGTGGTTGTTGTTGTAGACATCCCAGAGCAAGACTTGGCAGTCGTCTCCTCCGGAAGCCAGGACGCCTCGCTTAAGGGGCGACCATTCGATGCTGTTGAGCGCACCGCCGTGGCCGCGAAGTTCCAACAAGGCCTGTCCAGGATGGCGCACATCCAGAATGCGAATAACGTTGGAGTCTTGCGCAAACGTAGCGAGCAAGTGAGTGTCGTGAGGCGACGTCGCCAGTCTCAGCAAAGGAGGAGGGTTCGACATGGTCTGCTGGGCCAGGGTAGGACTGATCCGACCGCCATTGGCATCTGTGAAATCGGGTTAGCAAAGGCGCGAGGTGACTCTGTAATTCACACGACGTACCTCGGTCATCCTTGCCCGTGGGCTCGTATATAATTGTGCTATGCTCAAGACTGCGCAAGTCGAACATGCGGACACTGCCGTCCTGTCCACAGCTCACGAACACATCCACACTATTGGCACAGAAGCGCACGTCATATACCTCCTTGTCATGAGCAATCAATTGCGTCTTCGCCGTCAATGAGGGGATATCCCAGATTGTGCAGGTCGTGTCTATGCTCGAAGTAATGATCAAGCTTGGGGAGACCGTGTTCCAGTCCAATGAGGTCAGCGGCGCAGTGTGGTCCGGGGTTTTGGAGTTGGAGAGAAGCGCCAAAGGGGTGAGCTTTGTGACGCCGGGATCCCTGCCTTGTCGGTTGATCGAGTTGCTCTGGGACACAGGGCTTTCCGAGGGCAAAGACCACAATCGGAGGTGATCGCCGGACGTCGCAAGGAGATCGGTGGATTGTTTCTGCGAAGAGGGCGGTTCCCATAGGAGGCGGGTTACGGGGTACGAATGTGTGGCTTCGGCAACCTTTGAGAATTCAAGATTGAACTTGGGAGTTCCGGGCTGGTAGACGTCGTTGGGGGTCGGCACCATTTGGGTATCGAGGATTTGAATCTACGATAAAAAAGTCAGCATAGTCCTAGGCTGGCCAATGGGGTAAATCCGGGCCCTACAAAATTGTGTCCGTCCTCCAGATAGCTACCGACGGCGAGCTTGCCGGCTCCGTTGCCCTGAGGCGGCCACTTGCACCAGTCAAAGGCATAGAGTGCCCAAGGAGCAAGATAGTTGCTCGTGCCGGGCTGGACATTGGCGAGATCGAAGGCGGTGCTGCCAGGCACGCCATCCGACATACCAGAGTCGGCACGGGGCCGAATATCAGCCAAGCCTAGCGGAGTGTTCGAAATATTCCGCTGAGAGCCGGGAGCATTGTATTTTTGATCTGGCGGCGACATGAATTGAGAACCGGATCCGCTGGGGGTCGTGGGGGTGTAGGGCGCGAATGTTGCGGCGCCTTCGTAGTTGGCAGCGGGGGAGGAGCGCGAGTAACTGTGGGTGAGACTCAAGCTGGGCTTGGAAGGGGTCTGGTAGTCTTGCGACTGCTGAGGCATTGTAGCCATGGCCGGGGCGGTGGTTGCGGTGATGGCGGGGGGACGGCCACCTGCACCGCCGGGTTGCAGTACGTTGGGCACCGACGATGTGCTCTGGAACTGGGGGGCGTTCGGAGAGGCCTGGTCCAGCTTGATCTGGGGAGCGGCGGGGGCGGCGGATGAGGACGAGTATTCGCGGGGCGATAGCTGACCGTGCTGCATCATGCCAGCAGGCATGTGCAGTTCGTCGTGCTGGGAGCCGTATGTGTTGGTTCGACGCGGGGTGGCCGAGGAAAACTGCGGTTGCTGCTGCGGCGGCGGCTGTTGCTGCTGCTGAGGTGTCGGTTGTTGTTGCTGGTTCATGGCCGCGACGGAGAAGGACGGCGCGTGGGAGGACGAGGAGAGATGAGTGACGGAGGGGGAAAGGCCCGGCGGCCCTGATGTCTCAGTCGCAGTGGGGTGTGCAGGCAGCGAATAGGTCGAATCGTGGTGATGATGGTGGTGCAGCTGGTGGCCATGGACCGGATGCAGCGCGGCGGGAATGGAAGCACGCTGCTGCTGCTGCTGCTGCTGCTGCTGGGAATATGAATGAGAGCGGGAGTGATAGGAAGGGGAGTGGGAGTAGGAATAGGAATGGGAGTGAGTGGGCGAATGCGAGAGGTCAGAAGAGTGCGAGTAGGAGTGGGAATGGCGAGGCTGGAGGGGACGGGAGGAAGCGGAGTCGGGAGCGGCAGCGGCAGCGGCGAGGGGAGAAGGAGGGGCGGCAGCGGCGTTGGCGATGTTGAGGCCGCGGTCGTGGTGATTCAGGTGCTCGGCGTCGTCTTCGTAGTAGAAGTTGGCGACGGCGTGTTTCTTGGGCGCAAGGGGCCCGGTCGCAGTCGCAGTCGCAGGCGCGGCTCCTGAGGCGAATTGAGGAGATGAAGTTGGAGAAGGAGAAAGGGTTATGGAAGGAGGATGATTGGGGTCGCGGTTGGGCGACAGATGCCGCTGATGCTGGTGTTGCTGGTGGTGGTGGTGGTGGTGGTGCTGGTGGTGGTGGTGGTGCTGGTGGTGGTGGTGGTGCTGGTGCTGGTGTTCGGGCTGCAGCTGGTACTGCAACCGCGGCGACTGCTGCTGTTGCTGAGAGTGGGATGACAAGGCACCAGAGGGCGAGGGTGCCGGATTGGGCAGCGAATGGTGGAGGGAATCGGTGGCCGCCGTAGCGTCGTCCATGTCCATGCTGGCGCTGACGCTGAGGCTGGCCTGGCTGTGGCTCCGGCTATGGCTACGGCTCTGGTTCTGGCTCTGGCTGATGGCGTTGGCTGCAGCAGTGCTGCTGGCAGGGGCCCCAATGGAGCCCAAGGCCTGGGCCGCTTGCCAGAGCGCCGAAGTTGCGCTGAGCCGATGGGAATGTCGCTTGTGCTGCTGCTGCTGTAGTTGTTCTTCCTCCTGTTTCTCCTTGTCGCCGACGCTCTGCTGCGACGCCGACCGGCGATGGCCCAGGAAATGCATATTTGCTGGTCAGGGCAAGTCGCCGTGATGTATGTAGAGTACCTAGGTAAGGAAAGGTAAAGTATGCAGGTTGCGTGGAGCCTCCAGCACAGGGCAAAACGGACGAGAGCAGAACAAAAACACCTGGTTGTCCAAGGAGCCCGGAATGACACGGCACGCGGCGAGGGACAGACCAGAGCAACACCAGCCGATGCCTGCGTTCGAGTAAGTCAGGCAAGGTACCGTGCCTCAACTCAGCGCACAAGACACGAGGGTCCTGATGCTACGTACTTGGCTGTAAAGAGTCAAAGTACTCTGGATCAAGAGGAGCAAGAGAGTAATGAGACAGACCATGGGCAAGACTGACGACGAACGGTGGTGATGTCTGGACGCTCCGGAACACGAACACACAAACTTTGTCTTGGCCTCCGTCCGCGCGCTCCGCGTCGTCACTGCAGGAAAAATCGCTCTTCTACGGCATCACTTCTGACTAATAAAACGGCCTCCCAGTTGACTTGTTGGCGCTGGACAAGGAGACGGGGGCCTTGGACGGGACGGGGGCAGATGAGATAGGGATGCGCGTTGTTGCGAATCGTTTGGGATGCCGCGTATGTACTCTCCAATGTCTCGTCTCGCACAACACTCATTGCGTGAAGCTTGCCCTTCTCCCCTGACGGACGGCTCCCTCCATGGAACTAACGGTTCAATGCCAATAAAGCTGCCAATGCTGCCAATTCCACATGGCCGCACCTGATATGGCCCTGGCTTTAACTTGCCTCACCTTGTCTTGCCCAAGATGGCGCACAATACCTTGCCTTACCTGACTTTCCGCTCCTCGCCCACCAGCCGTGCCTTGCTTGAACCAAGTGCGACAAAACTTCTTCCTTGCTGGTGGGTTGGAATATCTGCACGCCGGCTGCCTGACTGACTCTTCCTCTTGGGCCAGAATGTGAGGCTGGGCGAGACTCCTTCCGACCGGTGCCCAACCCGTAAAACAAAGAAGAAAACACATGGGAAACAAGGAAGAGGTGCCTTCAAAACGTCACATTGAGGGCCCATCCAGACCCAGTGGAATGGAAGTTTGTGGGAAATAAAAGACTGGAGACTTCAGACCAGACTTTCTCTGCTGGGTTGGACCAAGCTAGGGCTAATGACTGACCTTACAGAAGCCACTAGGTACCTTACTCCACAAGCATTTGCTCCAGTGAATCAATGCTTACATGCAAGTCACCTTTATAAGCTTATCGGATTTCTTTCCAATGGATATTTCTTCCAGGTTGCGATAAGGAGCTAAGTCCAGTGACGTCTGTAGCTGGAGTAGAAAGGGTTGCCTCGTGCCGAACCGTGGCACATGCTCGGAGCTCGTGAGCTCGACACATTTACCTTCAGTTGCTGGCTTTCGTCACAAATCTTTGCCTTAGCCCATAGCAGCCCGTGGATTCTCAAGCCGTGCCGGCCCATAGACCCCCCCATATCATCAACTTCGCTTCCGCGCCCGACAACTTGCTTACTCGTACATCTTAGCTGTCATCATCCATAGTATTACGCCATTCCACCCCAGTTCTGCCGATTTGTCGCTCAAACAGCCCGACAGTCCTGTCGGCATTGTCCATGTGTCTTGATGGCCCCAGACTCCCCAAGATTCTTTGATCGGCTCTCGCTGAGCCGAAACAAATCGCCTCTCCTGCCGCTGCATATCTCTGCCGAAAGACGTGCAAACGATTACGATCTCGACGAACTGTCCCCACGACCGCACGACGCTCTGCTTCCAGAGTCGCCGCGAACACCCACAACGATGTCAAGACGCCGCTCTCCGTCTCCTGTGGACCCGTGGGATAACGATGTTTTGGACGAAGACCCCCTCAGTCCCGCTGGGTCTATCTCCAAACTGAAGCCCAGGGCTAAGGCCTTGTTCGCCGGCCCTCCACCGCCGATCGCGGCCTCGATTCTGGTTCAAAATCCACCGCAGGGCAGAAGAAGTTCTAGAGAAGGTTCCAAAGCCGGTCGCAGTAGTCATGCGGCTGGGGGCATGGCGCCGAGCCGAGTCAGTTTCGGGAGCATTCTGTTCGATCAGAGTTCGCGCGGTTCAAGCTCCTCGTCCAGAGGTGATTCAATATGGCGCAACCTACAACATCGGGAGCGAGCGTTGCAGAAGGAAGTACAGCAATTGCTGGACATGCAGGCCACGGGACTAGCGCCTAGCAATGAGTCGACAGACACCATTGCCACAGGTGGACAGGATGCCTGGAGTGACTCAGGGAGTAGTACGCCCACGGGGACATTCTATTCTACAGCATCATCAAAGTCGCGGATGATGGCATCGCTCGATCCACCCGTGCGCGCGACCGCTCGTGGCGACATCATACCTGTTCGGCAACCGAAGACCTCGGGGCCTCAAGGCCTTCAGACCGCACGCAAAGGCCTACGGCGTGCTTTAACGTACTTGACTGACTTGAAGTCCGAAGAGAACTCCTACATCGAATCCGCGCTGTCACAGCGCAAAAAGGCACTTTCGCATTTGGGCAACCTTTGCAGTCGTAAAGAAAGCATCTCTGCAGAGCTTCGTAGCCTTGCAGACAATGAGGAAGAGCCGCTGGGCAAAGAGCTTCGAGACCTAGGCGATCAGCATGAATCCTTGGGCCAGGAGATTCGTGAGTTAGAGGAGAAGCTCGTTGGCATGAGAAACAGGCATCGATGGCTCGAACGTAAAATGGCGGATGTCCGCAATCGCCGAGAGGCCGGCTTGAGCGGGTACAGAGGTGCGCTGAAGGAGGTCGAGGGCGAGGTTGCGTCTTTACTCCACCGGCCCCCCATTGAGCCTCTCGATCCCGACGTAGTCGAGACTGTATCACGTACTGACCCTGATTCATCTTACGGGGCGAACAATTTGCCTGGGGGCGCTGATTTCTTTCGCATGATACCCGCCCGGCGTACGCTTAGCATGGCAAAAGACTGGTGGGAAAGTGAGGTCGACTTTTTGGAGCGACGGAAGGCCCAGGTTGACAAGGATCGTGAGGCACTCGACCAGGGCACGGCATTGTGGCAGGAAACCGTTGACCTCATCACCACGTTCGAGGCCGACCTGCGGAAGTCACTAAGCAGCGGCGTGAATGAGAAGGGCAAACGGACCCCGCGGATGCAGGAAGAGGCCGTTCAGTCGATGCTACCCAGGATGGGCAAGGTGATCCTGGAGCTCGAGGAACATATGCGGACTGCGGAGAAGAACAGCTGGAACCTCCTGATATGCGCCATCGGCGCTGAGCTCGAGGCGTTTAGAGAAGCTGAGCGCTTGCTTCGTAGCAGCCTCCCGCAACCCAGGGCGGAGGTTGGTGATGTCGAGGAACCCTGGCCAAATGATGAAGGCCAACAAGAACGCAACGAGAAGGATGCCGATGCCGTCGAGACGAATTCTGTTGGTAGCCACCACGACGAGAGTGACAACGAAGTACCGCCTGATTTGCTCGTATCGCACCTCGAAGAGCATGACGACGCACAACCACACGCCAAGCCCATTGGAGCTTCCTCGAGACGAGACAGCGACAACGAAGTGCCGCCAGAGTTCTTGGCTGAGCATAGTCTGTAGATTGTCTTGTTGGCCGGATTGAGGGAGCGCTGATGGATCACATTCGAGGGACTTGCGGTGACTGGTCGAGCGCACACGGCATGGATAATGAGTTGCGGGGAGGACCCCTAACTACGACTGCATTGGATTACTTACATTATGGCAAACGGCATTGGATAGGACAGGGCAAGTAGGACAGGATACCCCACGAATAGTCAGTTTGAACGGCGTTTATCGGAATGCCTAGGAATCGATTTGCATCAAAGCCCACAGTTCGCCCGTCCCCATGTGCTCCCCGTCACGAGGCAATTTAGGTAAAGTCGCGGGTACGTACAAGTGAGCTGCAACTGTGGCGCACTGGATTGGTTGGTAACCTCGGCTATATCTGTGTTTTGCGACGAGGACGATCCCGAAAGTGGGGTCTAAAGGTCCGGTGGTAAGGATACACGGGGGAGCCTGCGCCAGAGGCTTTTATAAAGAAAAGCTGGGCGACGAGAACGTCGTCTCGTCCACCATGCCCAACGACATTTGATAGCCCCCGCAGCACGATTCCAGCATCGCACGTAACATCTTCGGGGAGCAGAGTTTTGTCCGAAATCGAGAACACCGACCGGGTGCCCGCCGAGGCGCCACGCCCCGACCACCCGACCCTCGCCGAGCGTTCACCCAGGTGCCGAATCCCCCACGCAGCCGCCGAGCATTGCCGCGCCAACATTTGCAAGAAAAATGGCCGAATAGACGAGAAAATTGGAATGGTCGTTGAAATAGTCGTCGCGCCGTCGAAATTCGTCAAAGGGGGGAGGAGGAGGAGCAGTCATCGTCGTCCATCTACCGCGTACGCTCAAACCATCCGCTGGAGCCGGCGATCGCAACCGACTGATCCATCACCCACTCGCCGACACCGAGATACTTGTCAATCCACTTCGACATGTCCTTGTTCTCGCCCGCGGCTCTGTCAGTCTTGAAACTGGGTCTGACGATTCCCAGAATGGGCACTTGTCAGCTGCCACGCATTCTCTTGACGCAGATTTGCACCTGCGGATGACAGTTTTGTCCTGTCCAGTTCGGATCGATACTCACGTAAGGCCTGTCGAGCGCTTCATGCCAGCGAGGAAGGCGGAAACTGTAGGTAAAAGCATCAGCCGGTTGTCGTCCGACGAATCGGGGCGGTAAGAGAGGGGGGGGGGGGGACCAACTGAGAACCGCATCGAATGCGTAGTGAGTCAGACGCCCAAACTTCGACCACAGCCCCAGAGTCAGCAAGTTGAGGAGCTATACGGAGGTTAAGACTGCGCAAGCAAGTCGAAGACGAGGCAGCGAGCGAGCACGCACGAGGAGGACTCGCCGCGCGGCCGGAAACGGAGGGAAGGAGGTGGTACCAACCATCTTGAAGATTCAGGTTTGTTGTTTCTGTTTCTTTTTTTGGCGTCGTCGGTTGAGGAGTTTGCGTGTTTTTAGTCTCCTTTGCGTTTTGGGTTTTGTTGGTGTCGAAGAGGCGGTATCGTCGCTTGGGTTTTGGAGACAAAGGGTGTTGTCATGGGACAAGGCTCGTCTGGCACACCACCAGGGTGGACACTTTTCGCACCTGAGAGGACCCCACGGGAGGAGGCTGGGCTGGCGGCGACTGGTGCAGCGAGTGCTGTGCCTGGCCTGAGGTGGTCGGTGAGCGGTGCAGAGCTCGCGTGGACTGTGCGCTACTGCGTCCGCTTAGGTACCTGACAGGCCTCAGGCTGCCGGGCCGCCGCCGAGGGTGGGCCGTTCATGTTCATCGTGGCACCGTCCAGCGAGGTGTCTGCGGCGATAAGGAGCGCGCGACTTTGGGAGAAGTACCTCTCTGAGACGGTCAAGTACCTCGTGGTACGTTCCTCGATACGGAGCTCGCGTTTCAGTGGAACCAAGCTTGTCAAAGTCACGTGGCCCTGAAGTCAGCTCCAAGTGGGGTCGGGCTGCTCTCATCGGTTACCCGACGAACTCTGTTTGTTGCATATTTCTCGCTTCGAGTCTTTTCGACGGGTTTTCCCTCTTTAGCCCCCTCAACGGTCTGCCCGTAGGCGCTCCCCTGCCTGGACGGCCGATAAGCGGCGGCGCAGGACGCGACTCGGTGCATGGTACCGTTATCGGGACAATTTGATTCGCGTCACGACGATGGGATTGGGCGATCCGGTGCGGACCTTGGACCTTGGACCTTGTGCCTTGGGTCTTGGAGGACTTTTCCTCCTCCGCGGTTCAGATTCAGTGCCCCGTCGATTCTGGAGGGCCGGAGCTACCAATTATCTTTTTGACGAGGGCATTGGACACTCCGCGGACAGGCCAGGAAGCACCCCAAGTGGACCAGGGGACCTCTCCACTGCGACGCTTTCCCTTTTTTTAGCTGGTGGGGAGCCCTGCTGGAGAGCCAAGGTGCCCAGCAATGGAGGGGCTTGGAGGGGTCGGGCTGGCGCTGCCGCACCCGTTGGAAATAGCTGTGTGTCAAAAGCATGAGCTCTGGTTTGTTGAGTGTTTGAGGCTTTATGGCCCAGCGCCCAGCCAAGGTCGCCCAAGGAAACGGAGCTCCGTCGCAGAGTGGGAGAAGGGACAGCAGAGATTGGACACTGCCAGGAACTCGAGGACTCGGGCAGAGGCAGAGAGGACGCAACCCGGACCAAATGGCCGGAGGCGAGCGAGGGATGGGACTGTTGAAGGGGAACTTGGGAAGGGAAGGTGGGAAGAAGAAAAAAAAAGCACGAAAGAAAGGCCGAAACTAACAATGCCATTGAAATCCCTCACATCCCATCCTGTCCATGCTCCCCGTTCCGCCATCCCCGCCGCTGTCTTCTACTACCTCCCTCCTCCTATTACTACTGTTCGCGGGGTTCCCTCTCTTGCGGTCTTCTCTTCATCATTTATTTTTATTTTCCGCCGTACCGCTTCCGAATCACTTCACGTTGGACAGCATCACGCTCGAGCGTCGACGAGAGAATAAATAGCTTGGCTCAGGTAAGTGGAACGAGTCGCATCAACACCAGCACCAGCATCAGCACTGCATCCCACGTCTACACCCCTGCCAGTCTTGTTTCTGCGTCTGTTCCTGTTTCTGTTTTCTCTCCCAGTTCCGCCTGGCACTTTCACTGGCCTGACCTCACCTTACCCGACCTTGGGTCTCGCGTCACCCTGTTCCGGCTGGGCATTCTATTTACGTGTACTGCCGGGTTTGCGCCGGTGTGCAATGTACCTACACAGAACGTGCGTGCCGAGCAGTGGGAAGACCAGAGAAAAAAGGTGAGGTGAGGCGGGAAAAGGGCAAGTGCGCACATACCAGAGGATGGGCATGAACAGGGTCCCCGTCAGGGAAAGGTGAGGTGAGGAAGGGACGAGGGTGCTGTCACAGCACCTCATGTTGGTGGGGCTCCCCGGTGGTGCTGGGTGCCCGGCGCTGCCAAAGCTGCTGGGTTCTGTTAGCAACGTTGGCTGATTGCTGCCACTGCGTTGAATTGAGGGGCAGTTTTCCCACCCGACCCCAAAAAGTCAATGGAAACCAACGAGGGGCAGCAGCACCGCACCAAGGTCCAGCGCCAGCGCCAGCCAGCGCTACCGGGAAACCGCCGACGCCGACCACCACCACCGCAGCAGCAGCGGCAATCTTCAGACGGACAGCAAGCAGCTTCTTCACTCGGTCTGGGCCAAGCAGCAAATTATTTCTCTTGCTCCCACCTCGTGTGTCTTGTCTGCCTGCCCTGTCCTGACGTCTGTTGTCTCTGCTCTGTCTTCCCCCCCGTCCTTCAACAAATACCCATCTTGGTTGAGGCTCCCTGTCTGCATAAATCTTGTACTTTAGGGTCTCACCCATCCATCAGCCATTAGATTTTTTATTTTTTTTATCTCTCACTGTTCACCCACTCCCACTCTCCTCACATCATCCCTCTTCCTCCTCCAACCCTCCACTGCCTGTCGACCAAGCAGGATCTAATAGCTGCCGCAGACCAGAGATTGTCACGACGCCAGCTCAACCACCTCTCCCTTCGAAATCGATACCCCGCCGCCAAATCTTCACAATGGCTGCCACTGCTCAGGACCACCTTGATGTCGGCGGAAAGATCGCCTGGCTCTCCAGCCTCGACACTGCCTACCAGCCCGAGAAGAACTACCGCCGCTCTTCTATCATCTGCACCATCGGTCCCAAGACCAACTCTGTTGAGGCCATCAACGCTCTGCGCAAGTCCGGTCTGAACGTCGTGCGCATGAACTTCTCCGTGAGCCACCCCGCTGCCTCTCCCTGTTTGACAGCAATCGGCTAACATGTTATCCACCAACAGCACGGCAGCTACGAGTACCACCAGTCCGTCATTGACAATGCCCGCGCCGCCGAGAAGGCCCAGCCCGGCCGTCAGGTCGCCATCGCCCTCGACACCAAGGGCCCCGAGATCCGCACCGGCAACACCAAGGACGACGCTGATATCCCCATCTCCGCCGGCAAGATCATGAACTTCACCACCGACGACCAATACGCCACTGCTTGCGATACTGAGAACATGTACGTAATATCCCTGCCTCACGAAATTTCTCTCGGCCGCTAACACTTCTGCGCAGGTACGTTGACTACAAGAACATCACCAAGGTCATCGAGCCCGGCCGTATCATCTACGTTGACGACGGTGTCCTGGCTTTTGATGTCATCAAGGTCGTCGATGACAAGACCGTCCAGGTCCGCGCCCGCAACAACGGCTTCATTTCCTCCAAGAAGGGTGTCAACCTGCCCAACACCGATGTCGATCTTCCCGCTCTCTCCGAGAAGGACAAGAACGACCTGAGGTTTGGTGTCAAGAACAACGTCGACATGGTCTTCGCCTCATTTATCCGCCGCGGCCAGGACATCACGGACATTCGTGACGTCCTTGGCGAGGAGGGCAAGCACATCCAGATCATTGCCAAGATCGAGAACCGTCAGGGTCTCAACAACTTCGAGGAGATTCTCCAGGAGACCGACGGTGTCATGGTCGCCCGTGGCGATCTCGGTATTGAGATCCCCGCCGCCGAGGTCTTCGCCGCCCAGAAGAAGATGATTGCTCTGTGCAACAGGGCCGGCAAGCCCGTCATCTGCGCCACCCAGATGCTCGAGTCCATGATCAAGAACCCTCGCCCTACCCGTGCCGAGATTAGCGATGTTGGCAACGCCATCACTGACGGTGCCGACTGCGTCATGTTGTCTGGCGAGACCGCCAAGGGTAGCTACCCTAACGAAGCCGTTTCCGAGATGCACGAGGCCTGCCTCAAGGCAGAGAACACGATCCCCTACGTTTCGCACTTCGAGGAGATGTGCACTCTGGTCAAGCGTCCCGTCAGCGTCGTCGAGTCTTGCGCCATGGCTGCTGTCAGGACTTCTCTCGACCTGAATGCCGGTGGTATCATCGTCCTGTCCACCTCTGGTGACTCCGCTCGCCTTCTCTCCAAGTACCGCCCTGTCTGCCCCATCTTCATGGTCACAAGAAACCCCTCTGCTTCCCGCTACGCTCACTTGTACCGTGGCGTTTACCCCTTCCTGTTCCCCGAGGCCAAGCCTGACTTCAGCAAGGTCAACTGGCAGGAGGATGTCGACCGCCGCATTAAGTGGGCTGTCGAGAACGCTCTGGAGCTTAACATCGTCAGCAAGGGCGACACCGTTGTCGTTGTCCAGGGCTGGAAGGGCGGCATGGGCAACACCAACACCATCCGTATTGTCAAGGCCGACCCTGAGCACCTGGGCCTTGGTATGTTGAACTAAATTGCATGTGAGGGAAATAGAAAATGCTGTTGGCGTATGGGAGGAATCAAAGTACCCAGTTAAAATCCTGATAGACGATGGTGGGCCACGATGCCCTTTGACGCGAGTATGAATTACACAAATGAATAAAGCAGATATCACCTTCCAATCGTTCGATCTATATTAACATCTTGATCCCAACTATAGCATCCAGTCTTGACTGAGTTGCGGAGTAGTCCGAGTCGCAGAGAAGGGATGAACTCACATGGGTGCTCTGTCTGAGTCTGATGTATAGATGCGGAGGCCAGTGAAGAATGGCTTTTGACCATTCTAACTTCACATGCAATGTACGTCTCTCGAAGCCATCTAACATTTCCTCAAATTTACAAGTTCTTCACCTCGAAGTTCTTCCGAAGATATTCGCCATACTTTATGATCAAGAACGGCACGGGCACTAAAGCTGCCGCAATGAATCCAAGAACACTGTTTCCCCAACCCACGCCCAAATCCTCATACATCTTCAGACCAGCAAGAGGCAGAACAGCGCCAGCCACGGACCGCACGACTGCATTCGCTGCCAGCGCGGAAGCCGCATAGATGGTAAACGAGTCAACCAGATAAAGCTGCAACGCCATGAAGATGATGAGGTTGCCAACGCCAATGATGGAAGTGCCAAGGATTGGTACGATCCAGTGCACACCGTACTCCGCTGTCCAGCCATAGATGAAGAGGCCTGCGGGAAGGAAAAGGGCGCCGGCTGGAAGCGAAACCAGCCGGTACTCGGGCTTCATTCCCTCGCGAGCTGTTCCAGCTTCATCTGCGGCTGCATCGGCCTCGGCCGCTTTCTTTTTCACATACTTGTCTGAAGTGATGCTGAAGAATACCACGCCGATCATGGAGCCAACACCTAGACCGAGGAAGGCTAGACCAGCTGTACCGGCGCTAAATTGATACTGAAGCATGAAGACGGACGTAATGGAGGTGAACATGAGGTACAGATATCCGTATACGACGGCGATGTAGAAGCCACTGATACGAAGGGTCAGCCAAGTATCAAGGGGGCGGGTATGGATGAGCCTACAATATTTGAGTGATTGGCGAGAAGGCGATCATCTTGAGAGGTCTAACGATACCGCGCTTGAAGTAATCGGCTGATGAAAGACCAATGTCAAGCTTCGATCGCAGCATCTTGTTCCCCGTCTCCTTTTGGAGCCGACGAACCTTCTTGTCCAGAATGACGGCCGCATACGTCTCCTTGAGGAAAATGACCATGATGATGCTAATGACGCCTGACACAATCGAGAGTAATCGGAACGTCCAGCGCCACCCCGCGCTTTCACTCAAAAACCCACCAGCAACCGGGCCTACGATCGGACCGAGGAGAGGTCCGATACTGAAGACGGACATGGCGACACCTCGCTTCTCCTGACGGATCATGTCGGCGATGGAGCCGCCCCCGTTAGTGATGGGGCATGAGCCGAAGATGCCTGCGAATAACCGGAAGACGATGAGAGCGTTTAGGGTCGGGGCGAAGGCGGCGCCGATGTTGAAGCAAATGAAGCAGAAGTTGCAGACATGGTAGACTATCGTGCGGCCGTAGATCTCGCTGAGAGGAGCGCAGAGGAGGGGTCCTGCTGCGAAGCCGAGCACGTAGACTGGAACTTTCTGTTGGCCTAATTTCTGCTTATGAACGAGGGGGTTGTTCACTGACCGGAAACGACAAAGGAGGCTAGGTAGGGGCTGTCATTTTTAAACTCTTTCATGAGTTCTGGCACACCTGGGGCGAAGATAGCTACGGCAGAAGAATTAGTGTTCGCTGAAGACAAGGTCGGAGAAGAATCATACATGAAGCAAGGGGGGTGACGAATGTCATGGCACTGATCAGTGTGCATGTCATGACTTTCCTCCAGGTTGGCCAGTTGTATGGGTTTTGAGGATCGTCGTCGCCATCCCACCAAACCACATTCTCGTCCTCTGAAGTCTCCCCACCATCCGGCTCGTTTGTTTGAGGGCCCTTCTCAACATCTTCAGGTCCATTTTTGCTCGTAGTCGATTTCCGCGCGTCTGATGCCCGTCTCTGTCTTGCTAGGGATTGTCTCCTTCGCTGTTCGCCGCGCTCATCGAGTACATAGCCCAGACTAGAGGGAATATCGGCGTCGTGACCTTCTGCGTAGGCCTCTGCTGTCTTTTCTTCTCTTGTGGGCTCACGTTTCAGTAAGTGAGGTGGTCCAGGGTCCTCGTTGTCACATTCAGTCTCTCGAGTTGATGCGCGGTCATCTGTTGTGTGGCCAATCTCCTTTTCTGATGGATCTGAAGGCATATCTTAAGAGGTCTACCGAGCTGACAGTGAGTATTAATACTGATGTATGTGGTTTGAGGACTTCTAGGTGTGTATCGAACGGAATAAAGAGTGTTTGTATGTGCATGCTGTGCGATCCGTCCCGAGCCTTGGCAACTCGTTACGCTATCCACACGCGCTTGGTTTGACCCTCACCTGCTGAGGATTCATACGATAGGCTCGCATACGCAGAAAGGGAGTTTGAAGTGATAGCTTGGATTAACTTACAAATGGTTCAAGTCCAGCATACAAATCTGTGGCAAATGCAAAGTAGCTGATCAAATATCACCGCCGAGCTCGAATCTGACACACAAAATATGTAGTGATGGTGAAGATCAAAAGAGGTTCTGGAGGTCAAACGACGGGCAGTCAAGCTATGAATGAGTCAGGTTTAATGAGACCCATGGGTATCGAGCAATCGATGAAAATAAAGTGGCCTGACAAGTTCAGAGCAGGGGGAATCGCCGGACAACAGTGAACAGAATGTGAAGCAAACCGGAAGAAAGACAGTCAACGGGGCTTAGAGTCATACAGCACCTCTCCCACTCTTTAAGGGAATGATCCAAGCCTTTCTCGGGTTCTCGGTCCCATCATGCGGCCCCATCCCATCTGCGCGAACCGTTGAGATGGGATTGATGAGTGTCATATTGACCAGCGGAACCTGATCACACCACCAACTGAGCACCGTACCATCAAGCCAGTCGGCCTCCCTGCCTAGATCGGCGGGGAGAAGAGAGGGGAAAGGGAAGTCTGGGGTCTAGCGCAGAAATACGGCAGCTACAACTGTTAAATCCGCCCCGAAACCCGTGCAGTCAAGGCTGGTCCGTTGGTTTGGAGTAATTGGAACTTCTGCACGGTTTCTACGCGAGGCAACGAGCCAATCTTGTTGTCGCAAAGAGCTCACTGCCGCCAAGACGTCGGGGCGAGTCGGCCGATTCTGCGCCGTTGCAAGTCGTTGTGTCTCGGCGCCCGATTTTCTTGGTGAGATCTCTCCCGCCCTGTGTCGTGGTCGGCTCGCACTTCCTGCCATCCACCCTACCTGCGATGTAACGTATAAGACGGAGCTGGTGCGGCAACGAATGAGAGCGAATGTTTCAAGGCCGGCTATCTCCGGTCATTTCGCTAAAGCCGTTGACCCGAATCATTGCTTCTCAGCAAGGGATTGAACCCCTGCAGCTATGAATGCTCCCTCATACGAAAATGAGCACGGCAGCAAGAGCGTTTGATTCTAGACACATGTAATCTGAGTATGGGGTTCCTCTGAAGAATAAGGAAACGCCTTTTAGACTTTCGGTTCTGCAAGACATGGGTAAGGGCATATGAGGAGGGCTATCATGTCTTGCAATTACCTGTGCTGCCAAAAACGGCGTATGAGGCCGGCTCCGTGTATCGGGGCCGATGGCCCACTTATCGCCGAAGAACAACGGGATCCATGTGCCAATACCACTACCGGAAACTTCGCGAACAATGGCCCAGATCAAGAAACCAAGTCTTCCGTTTCAGTTAAAGAATTACAGCCAACTGATTATTGAGTACCCATGAGGACGGGAGATAAGTTGTCCCTATCGTTATGTTTCTCCATCGTCTCCTTCGTCTTCATCATCCTCATTCTCGTCTTCACTTAATAATGGTCCTCAAAGATCTGCCCAAAAGAGAGGAAAAAAAAAACCAGAATTATTCAAGAGGTCATCTACAGGGGCCTAAAGCGCTAATATTCTGTAAAAGGCCAAGCTGAATATCGTGTCGTCTTCGCAGAGTCAGAAGCCACAGACCCCTGAGTGGAGGGGCTTTATGGGACCGCTCATTCCTCACCCATCAACATCCCACGTCTCGTCTAACCAAGGCCCTATTAGCGGTTAAACAACGAAGTTTACAATAATGATGAATGGGAAATAACGAGGTAAGAATAACAATGGCTCAAGAACACAAGGATAAGAGGACGTCGCACATTTCTCGTAACCCCATCTCGAGGTACACAGCCAGCAAGACAGACTCCAGTACGAGGGTAGCTCTTTTGAGGATCAGATAGAGTTATACTGCCCAGCAGGCAATTGTCTAAGGGAGTGAAGCGGAAAATGAGGTTAGATGAAGCCTGGAGGATAGCGAAAAGTTTACTCGAATGAGAAGAACGCTGACCTTCAGATGAAAAGAGGCGGCGGTGACAGCCGTGACGGCAACCACATCAAGAAGGTGCAATCCAGTCTAAGCATATATGGAATTTCTTAAAATTCACCAGGTCGCTCGCAAAGAAAGTCAGGCGCCTTCTTTCACCTCACTTGAAGTCCCGCCAATGGCAGAATTTTGATCGATGCTACCACAACCAATTCTCACTTGAGGTACCTACCTGCCTTATTGACTAGGACATTAAACGCTCCCACAAAGCCGCTCTTCTTGGTTTCACCACCCAAACAATCTTCAGTTCGGCAAGAAAAAGGAACCCGACAACTCAAAGAAATCGAAGGGACAAAATACCCCGCCAAAGAAGCGACGAGACTCTCGTCTAGGAACATCACAAGAGCTTCTGCCTCAAAACACCACAAGTATGCCTCACTTTCATCCGTCAGGAGAGGCTGAATGCTCAACGCCTCGAAATTTCTCGTGACGATGCTGACTCGATGGCAGTGGATGAACCGACGCTGAAGAAGAAGGGATCACTGCCTCAGATGAGCCACATCTCGACGCCTTTGCCTCATCCTTTCCCCGCCGCACTGCCTCCCAAGGCAGCCCGCAGGTTGATGGAACCCCCCAAATCAGGATGGCCAGATGCACCACGCAAGAGCTTACCTCCCTGGGACCGAGTTGTTGACGTTGTCTACCACAAGTACCGTCGCGGAAAGAGGCCCAACGTGGAAGATTTCGCCTTCGACCAGTCCGTCGCCATGTTCTTCGTTGAGCGCGGTCGAGCCCCTGACCTGGATCCCGTATCGCCATTCTTCAGACTGCCCGCTATCGCCCGCTTCAAGATCTGTCAAGATGTGATCATAAGCCACAGCTCGGAGCTCCCGATCTCTCTCACCAATAGTCGCTCGACGAGAGAAGTCTGGAAGGACGACGAGTTCATCTCTCTTGCTAGCGCCATGGAGCCTTTGCAATCATACTTGCAAGTCTCTTTTGCTCTCCGCGCCGACATGATGGTTTCCTTTTTGATGACCGAGAGGTTCCATGTCACGTACTCTCCGTTCGTCAACGCGTACTTCGACCCCCTGGCCACGCTGTGGTACAACAGATATGGTGCTTTCATGCAAGACATCATTCTCGAGCTCGACATGACGCGATTCGGCTTCGGCCCCGGCAAGCAGGCTTACAAGCTTCGTGCAGGAACCATAAAACTTGACACCCTAATCAAGTTATTTGTCGAGACACAGCTGAAGCGCTCTTCGTCGCTCAAGAGCCTCGTGCTTCTCTGTCGAAGGTTTTACGGCCAGCGCCCAAAGATTTGCGCTCCGTTGGGTGCTGCCAACTCGACGCCGGACGATCTGATCGAGGTAGATGAGCCAGAGGGTTCTCTGGCGGTGCAGAAGGTGGACGACGCCGTGTACTACTGCCCAGACGAGGAGCTCAAGGTTTGTGAGCCGCTGGTGCGAATGGAGTGGATGATCGACTCGATGCGTCTGGCCGGCTTCAGCAATAAGTACACGCACTCCCTGATCCGTCGAATTTTTCCGATTCCCGACGATGCAGACTGCCTAAAGCACCATTCTTACAGAGTTGCGCCATCCTCAGTGTGGCCGCGGATACCTGGACAGTCTTCTTGGATCGACGCAGGACGTGGAAAGTTGAAACTCGACGACCACTCGAGGGAGTATCTTCGCGGTCTCTACTCTCCCGAGGGCGCAATTCAGCTGCCGCCACCTTACTTTGACCCAGTCACCGGCCACATGTCGATGCGCCCGCCCAGTGAATACATCGAAGAACCATCTGCTGCTTACGACATGTATGACAGACCCGAGACCAGAATGACCACTTCTGGAAAGAGTATCAAGAGCTGCTCGACTCCTTCTGACGCCGGTAGCCTGGAGCGGAGAGTGCAGGGGGTCATGAACAAGCTACGGAGCATGTCCCGATCAAGCCGTGGGACTGAGGCAAGATCCTCGCTGGAACGACACCTGCTTGATCGAGAGTCATTCGAGAGCACGCCATTCGAGGCGAGGTCTGCGTGTTCCGATGGCTACAGACGCAGCCCCGTCGGGCACGTCTACATGGGAGGTGATGGCACGAACATCACAGTTCAAAGACCAAGGAGCGAGAGAGCCTCCAGTATGGCCAGCAAGGCCCAGACGTACTGATGTGAGACGGGGGTGACTACCGACAAACAGCATCCATCAACGAGGATTGGGCGAAGGGAGTTTTGGACTTGGAGGTCGTGACAAGGTTGGAACTTTGACGATTAGGAATGAGTCTCACCTTGGTGATCCTTCGGCGAGGACAAGGTGAAGGGGATGTGGATACCCGATTACGTACTTGTAGGATACCTTGCAGCACAGTACATTGACGTCAGTGCACCTTGCGCGCTAAGCAAAAAAAAAAAAAAAAAAAAAAAAAAAAAAAAAAAAAAGATGAGCATAGAAAACGCCTCAGTGACCTTCAGAGAGCATGTCGTAGCATATCCTCTGGGGCTCATCCGTGGAAATCTCACAGCCTTGCGGAAAGAAGAAGATTTTAAATGTCTTGGACTCCGTGGCTAGCAGAGTGAAGGAAGATCTTACCGTAAACAATTTCTTCATAAAAGAAGTAATTGGGAGGAGGAAAGAAAATTGGGGTACATCCATGAGGCACCTAAAGCAGGGAAACCCCACGGTTGTGCTGTGCGGTGCTTTGATCTTATCGGGCTGCGAGTACCCCACCATCAATCTTCAAAGCTTTGCCAAACAAACTACCGCCCACGAACCGCTCCTTGCGCCCGATTGAATCTGCCTACGTACAAGCCGTATAATCCGACACAAGCCCGTCGCAAAAGATATCAAGATGTCTATGCAACAGGTTCCCAACAACTTCAACGCCGAGGAGGCTGACAACCTCGAGGATGTAAGCCCTCAATCCATGGACCCTCATTCCCCAGATCAAAGAAGCGATGCGCTGACTCCTCTGCTCTCATGGTCAGATCGAGAAGCAGTTCGCGGTCAAGGGCACGTAAACCCACGTTCTAAACGCACTCCGAGCGAGAAAGAAACAAGCTAATTCGCTCCTGTCCGCAGTCGTCCAGCACATGGAAACATACTGGAAAATCCTTGAGAAGGTCAAGGGCTCTTCGCTGCGCCTGACCAAGATCGACGACGAGATCTACGAGCACCTCCAGACGGACTTCCCCGAGTTCGACCCCGCGGCGACCATCAACGAGGATGAGATGAAGAGCAAGAACGGCAAGGAGCGCTGGAGGAAGTTCATGATGGCCTACGAGAAGAGGGTTGACGACTATAACTTCGGCACAATGGTTCGCTCCAAGCCCGACGTCGAGTACGGCCAGCACGACGTCATTTTCGGTAGGTCTCTTCGCAGACGCTGTCTGCGCTGTCTGAGTGCTGGAGGGCACAAGTTGACTAGAGATTCAGTGCCCCGCATGCAGTTCTACGCCATTGAGATTGCCAGGTAGGTTCAGCCTACCCATTCCACCCTATCTAAGCCAAGGCTGACAGTTTATCTTAGAAACCGCAAGGGTCTGAACGACTGGATCTACGAGAAGGCTCAAGCAGGCAAGGCCTAAATTGCGTTCTGAACAATATCAATCAGGCTATTGCAAGCATCCGAGTGAATGAGCCGTCAAGATGTTGAGCCACCTTTGTGGCTAACGCATTGCAAGCGAAGGTGATCCTGTTAGTCGCCTCGGATGGGTATCACGAGGCGTTTCCTGGTCTCTTGGGAATGAATTATGAGGGAAGAACCGCGAGCCGGTCGCTGACTGCAAAGCATCGCACTCGGCTCTGGATCGCTGCCATGATTTGGAGTTTCGCTCATATACAGCGTACGGTGGATGAGACGCATCCCGTCCAAGTCTCCTTTTCCACTCTCGACCTTCTCGGTCAAGTTTACGTCAAGCAAATATCAACAAGAAGTTCATTCATATCCGATGCTGCGCTTTGCCATTGTGACGACACAATGCATTGTGTTTTCGGCGCCCTTTCACGACGGGGGATGCCACTTGCGTACAAGACACGGCTTGAGAAGTCTGTGCATCAAAGAACTCTCTGCAAGGCTGATGCGAATTCAATAAACTTCTGGAAACGTCATCATTCACGGTTCTGTCTTTGATTCAAAGATTTCCGAAACTCAGGAGTGTCTCCCTGGCTTTCAAGAACATTGAACAAGACCCCAACTCTCTGAAAGATATGTTAATGGTCTAATGCTATTGCTTCTGATCGCGGAGAGTTCCTTTGATTCGTTTCCTCTTTCATTCCCAAATCCTACTTTCGTTGCCCTTGTCATGGACTCGGAGACTCTCAACAAGGAATGCCTACAATGGAGCTTCTTACCTACGATTCAGAATGACAGCCGAGTGCTATTTCAAGAGAATACGCTTGCACATAGGCACACAGGCACACCTAGCTAGAGTCCACGATGCAGATATTGTCCAGCCACAAAGAAAGTAGCAGGCATCATATGCGCATCTTCTCCCTCCAGCAACCCACATCGAGAATCTCTACCCTCGAGGGTAGCACCGACTCGTCATGCTCCTCAAGACCCGCCTAGGTCTTTTCTGCCTGTTCTTCCAGTGACTCTTTCCTTCTAAGCTCTATCCAGAGATTTCTCTCTTCCATCATCTCTGGCACCCCCAGAATCCTGCATTTCCCTAGGCCACAGGTAAATCCCATCGCCATGGATCAGGATCCCGATCCACAGCCCCGGAAAACGGCTACCTGGAAGCATCTCTTCGCTTTTACAGAGTGGAAGCACTTATCAATCCTGGTTCTTGCTGTCGTAACTGCCTGCATTTGCGCTGCGGTGAAGACAGGGTACGCGCTCATCCTCGGTCAAATTTTCCAGGTCATCGCAGACTACGGCAGTGGCATCTTGGACGACGCCGACGCTTTATCCCAGACGTCAAGATGGTGTGTTATCCTCTGCTGCGTCGGATTAGGAGCACTGGGTGCCAACGCCTCACTCATGTCGTCTTGGATCCTCTTTGGCGAGTTCCAGGCTAGACAGGCTAGACAGAACATATTCCAGGATCTTCTGCATCAGAGAATGTCATGGTATGATTGCCAGGCCGATGGAACGCCTAGTATTCTTGTTCGAGTCGAATCGTGAGTCGTCCATCCCGGGAAGCTCCTGCTCCTTGCTGACATCAACTAGACAAATCCGCGATCTACAGATGGCAACGTCTCAAGTCTTCGGTTTCTTGCTTACAGACATCTTCTCATCCATTGCCTGCATCACTGTGGCTTTCGCACTTTCTGCGAAGCTGACTCTTTTCTTGATTATGACGGCGCCCATGTCTGCGGCCGTCATGTATGTGGTAAACCGCAAGCTGGGTCCCGCGATCGAAAAGCAACGGCAGCATCTCGATGACGCTTCTAAGCAAGTCAACGCCTCAGTCAGCGGTATCGACCTGGTCAAGATTTATAACGGCTTCAACCAAGAGGTGTGGCAGTATCACAACACCATCAAAGCCTCGAAGGAGCAGCACATGATTCAGGCTCATTGTAATGCCATTCAAATTTCTTACATGCAATGTTGGATCTCTTGTCTCTTCGTGGGAGGCTTTTGGGTCGGTCTTTGGCTGGTGACGCTCGGCGCCAACGCAGGACAAATTCTTACAACTTTCTACGCGACTTTGACGGCTTTCCAAGGAATAGCGAATGTCATCCCTCAATGGCTCATCCTCGTCAAGGGTATGTCCGCCGGCCAGCATCTCAAGCAGACGACAGGAATCTCTCCCGATAGACGACCGCAGAGAGCGAGCCAGGCCTTGGTCACCCCGGAGACCTGTCATGGAGATATCAAAGTCAAGGAGGTAAAGACGAAGTTCCCTCAGAACCATACCATGGGTATTTAAGTAACATCTTCAGGTGACCTTTGCATACTCGTCGAATCCTCAACACATGATATTCAGCAGAGTTTCGCTTCACTTTCCCGCTGGACAGACATGCTTCGTTGTCGGCAAGAGTGGCTCCGGAAAAAGCACTCTCGGCAGCCTCCTGGTCAACTTCTACGACACCTGGTACGGAGATATCCTTGTCGACGGCCGTAAAATTGACACACTGGATAAAGAATGGCTCCGCAGGAATGTCACCTTGGTCCAGCAGTCTAGTGTCATCTTTCAAGGCACCCTTCGCGACAACGTTACCCTCGGTCACCCTGCACCCAACTTCGTCTCCATGGAAGAAGTTAAGCAAGCCTGTGACATGGCACTTCTGCAGTCTACGATAGCAACCTTGGACCAAGGTCTAGACACGTTGATCGACTCCGTCGGCAGCGGTCTTAGCGGTGGCCAGAAGCAGCGTCTTGCCATTGCGCGAGCCAGGGTCAGAGATCCTCCGGTTCTCATTCTTGACGAGGCCACTAGTGGACTAGATCAATTCACCAAGCAACTCGTTATGGAGGCGGTTCGCTGCTGGCGAAAAGACAAGACGACAATCATCATCACCCACGACTTGTCTCAGATTGCGGACAACGACTTCGTCTACGTCTTGGAAAACAGAGAGGTTATCCAGCAAGGCACTCGGAAGACATTGTCAAGAGCCCGAGATGGCCTATTTGCACGAATGGATTCGGGACCAAACGAAACTTGCATGGAGATGAGTCCAGAGCAAGCCGATATGTCGATGGGTGAAGTCAACGATGAAAGGACAGAGTCCCAGATTCAGCACATCCCCATTGGAATCGAAGGGTTGCACTCTTTCAGAGACTCTCGCCAGGCTCGCGCTACCAAGAGATCTACTTGGCGCAACTCCATGGAGCTCACCTCCGCCTACACAAGCAAATGGGGTATGAATGCAGCACATCCAAACTCGTTGACTGGGTTCAGTAGGGCTCTACCTCTTTCGGAGAGCGCTGATATTTCGACCGAATGGGAGAGTATCAGAGGTTCTTTCTACGACCAGGCCCCCTCCCATCACGATTCTGTCCAAGCCCCGAATTGGTCAAGCATAGCCGCCGTTCAGATCGCAGGCGACGCCACACGGAACTCTCGCGCAAACTCAACCCGAGTACATCGCCAGCCAAGTGCAACCCAATTCGTCACCCCTGACGATGCCGAAAGTCATGGCACCCAAGACCTTGGCCAGGAGACAGACATGGAGGTAGCCAAGCCTTCGTTCACCAATGTCGTGCCCCTCAGTTCTGTCCTTCGCAGTGTTTGGCCAAACTTGTCAGGCAAAGACAGGTCCAGACTTGTTGTTGGTCTCTTTTCCTGCGTCATCGCCGCTGGATGCAATCCTGCTTTTTCCTACTGCTTCGCTCGACTCCTCGCCACTTTCTGGGAGGATGGGAATAGACTGGCTGCTAGCAAGGAGTGGGTCATCTACATGATCATCATTGCAGTCATCAGTGGTGCTTCGATGTACCTTGAGCGATATGCCATGGAGGCTGTTGGTCAAGCCTGGATCTGCTCTCTTCGCCTCGAGGGACTGAAGCGCATCCTTCAGCAGCCAAAGGCATGGTTCGACGGAGACACGAACTCCGCGCGGCGCATCAGCGAGTCTCTAGACCGCGATGCAGAGGAGATGAGAAACTTGGTTTCTCGCTTTGTACCAATTGTTCTGATGGTGACTGTCATGGTCGCGGTCTCGACACTCTGGGCTCTAACAATCTCTTGGAAGCTGACGCTTGTAGCCATCGCCACGACACCGATCATCCTGGCAACCGTCAAGATCCTTGCTTTCACCAGCGCCAATTGGGATTTGACTTGCGATGAAGCCGCGAGCAAAACGGCATCTTTCGTGAGAGATGTCCTCGTCAATATCCGCGTCACCCGAGCCTTTACATTAGAGAAGCACTTCAGTCAGCGGCACGCCAAGTATATCAGGACGATTTACGACTTCGGAAGTGAAAGAGGCTGGAGAATAGGCGCGCTGTTTGGTCTCAACCAGTCCATGAACTACTTCGTCATTGCCCTCGTCTTTTACTATGGCATCTACCTCTCGGCTGATCAGACCGAACTGTCGCCCGCCAGCCTTCAGCAAGTCGTCAATCTACTCCTTTTCTGTGTCGGCCAGGCAGGCTCGATGGTCAACTACATTCCGCAACTCTCAGTCTCGCAAGCCGCCGCATCACGCATGATCCGTCTTGCTACCTTGCCATCCGAGAAATCCGAGACAGACGATCGCCGAGTTCTCAGCACCCTGTTTCCAATCAATATGCGCAACCTCGAGTTCTCATACCCATCGCGCCCCGAGCACCAAGTTTTGCACAATATTTCTCTGCGACTTGACCAAGGAACTTACGCGGCAATAGTCGGTCCTTCAGGATGCGGCAAGAGCACCATTCTTTCTCTGCTCCTGGGAATTTATCAGCCATCTCGATCGAACTCTACCGGCCAAACCCAGATGGCTCTTTTGACCTACGCAGGAGTTGAGTTCAACCGAATCAGCAAATCTCAACTTTGCTCTCTCGTCTCTTATGTGCCGCAGACACCGTTCCTCTTCCCAACCTCGGTCTCGGAGAACATCGTCTATGGCCTTGCAGATGCATCAGACCTGCGCCATCCCAACAATTTGCAAAGAGCTGCCCAGGCCGCGGGCATCCACGACTTCATCATCTCACTCCCTCAAGGTTACAATACGATGATCGGCGATGGTGGACAAGACTTATCTGGAGGTCAGGTCCAACGCATCTGTATTGCAAGAGCCATCGTCAGGAGACCACGTCTGTTGATCATGGACGAGCCCACTAGCGCGCTGGATGGACAAAGTGCGGATTTCATCCGACAGACTATCGGAAGAGTGTTGAAGGATCAGGTAAACGGCGGTACGAGTGTCATCGTTGTCACACACAACAGAGAGATGATGCGCATGGCTGATCGCATCATTGTTATGGAAGAGGGTCAAGTGGTCGAGGAGGGCGGATACGATGAGCTGCAGCTCAGGGGTAGTGTGTTTCCCAGACTCATTGAGGAAGACCTCTAGATAGAGCCAAGAGTCTTTTGCAACTTGCAACTTGTGTGTATATACAGAATATAGTCAACGCCACTCCCGTCCAATGTGTTCCCCTTGCCAAGATGTGTTTCTGGAAGCTTTCCTCCCACACACACCCCCATCTTCTGATGCATTCAGAGAACCTACGTCCGCAAAGCATCACCCCCTTTGTCGCATACAGTTCACAGCCGCACATAACTCAACGCAGTCTAGCCTCTACATCGTGATGAGTCGCCCACCTCAGTCCTCGCCCTCATCGGCCACTGACACGTCCTTCAACCACCCATCCATCCCCCACGCTCAAGAGGCCCTAGAAGATGTTTTTTCCTTCCTCTTCCGCCACTTGAAGAAGGAAAGAGCAGGGTAGTTACCGCTTGAGCAGCTTCCTCAAGGACTGAAGACGCGCCCCTGACCGCTCCGGCTTTTCATCCCAAGCTGTTGAAGCGAGAGACGAGACGCGGCAGAACGCCTGGGTTGAATAATATTCACCGACCCTGCCTGAGAAGCAAACTTTTCTTCCTCCCAACCCATCCTCACTCGCTTTACCATCGACACTTCCCCATCCTCTCTTCTCTCCTTTGCGTCGCTACATTCGCTATCTGTGAGCGAGATCAGCTAGCTCTCACTCTGAGTTTGACTATATCCTGTCGAGCTGTCTTCTTTTCAACAGTTCTCAGGCTTCCAATATTACCTGCGAGTTCCAATTTCTCACGGACTCGTCCTTCACTTTACAATCGCCAGCCCAGATCGTGAGTGCTGCCCTTCACCCCCATATCTCTCAATTTAATCTGACATCAGAAAAACGCAGGGAAACTTTCATCTCTTAAGTCTGTTCAAGATGGAGAAGATCGATCACAGCGGTCTTGCCGACAGCAAGACCATGGGCTTCATTGCCATGGTTACGGAGACTTCCAAGCCTGGCCGTCAGCCTCCCCTATCGGCTTCCAGTGACTCGGCGTGGAACTCGGGCGGCGCAGTTGCAACCCGCGGAAGGAAGAAATTGAGTAAGTTCAGCTTCAATACGATTTGACTTTTTGAAGTAAGTCACTTACATGGGAAACTAGCCACGGCCACTGCCGGACCTGCTACCACGAAGACTTCCAATGTTGCGACTTCTGCTACCGCAAAGTCCACGAAGTCCGCCGAAATCACTTCGTCATTCAAGACAGTCACTAGGCCTACTACAGGTGGATCAACTCTGTGGTTCACGGAGCCAACTACTTTCGCCACGACTTCGGCTTCTGCTTCACAGACGGCGACCAGCGGGCTTGCAACCCCCACCAACAGCAGGGCGCCAGCTCCGGAGGCCAGTGATAACAGCGCGCCCAACCCGCAGTTAATCATTATCATCCCAAGTGTCGTTGGTGGAATCATTCTTTCGATTATCGCCATTGCCATTATCAAGGCATGGTGTCGTAGCCGTGAGGCGGTCAAAGATGGCAACGCTCGCCTGGCCAACAGCGGCCTTGGTCGGTGGGAACCTACTTACGGCCAAACTGCGCACTCGCCGTCCGCGGACGAAGATGCCTTCCCTTTTGGTCATCGCGCCCCTTGCCCACTTCCTCGTCCGGAGGGCATCCAGAACGGAAGCGCTCAACAGAACCAAGATGAGTACCAACTTCAGGACCTGACCCCGACTCAGTACGGCGGCGGAACGCAGACGGAAATCTTTCCACCCTATCAGGATCGTGGTTCGCGTTCTTATCCTCAAAGCACCGTGGGTTCCCAGCGCAGCTACATTGCCTACCAACCTCACCCGCAGCACCAAATCCAGCTTCAGCCGGCCGAACTGCCCGGTGACAGCTACATTCAGAGTCCGACTACTGCTGGACCATCTATCCAGAGTTCTCCTTCGGCAACAACTTACATCCAGCCTACTTCTACTACTGGATCCCCCGACCAGGCTACTCCTACCGATGCCTACCCTCAGAACCCGCCCGCCGGCACGTACCACCAGACTTCTCTCACTGGCACTTACATGCAGGTCGTCAACCAAAACTAAGAACATGGTTCGCAGAAAGACCAGCATTCTTCGTTCATTCACTAGCGAACTACCGGCATAGGAAGGCTGACGAAGAAAAGGCGATGAGCTGTTGGATTGATTCGACCGAGCGTACCAAAAGTCCTCGGTACAAATTGTTGGATTACACACAAAAGGACACGGACGCGCGCAAAAAAAGTTTTTGTTTTCAGTTATTCCAGGTAATGGCGGGGAGAAGGGGATGAGTGGAGGGGAATGGAATAAGAGGTTCTGAGGTTTGGTCAAGAAGAGAGGATTGGTCAGGGCATTGTAAATAGCCAACAAGGATCAAGGAATCTCACCGATGCCGTGGAGCGTCGGGAATAACAGGGTTTAAAAAAGTCATTAATCGCGTCTGCTCCACGTAGGCTTGGCACATCCAACGTGGATGTGACTTTGATTTTGGGTCTTTGCCGACATTTTGCCATCTCGGTGATCTCACACTAAATCTCACACCCTGTCTGTGTCTGCTTCAATCGGCTCTCCAACGGTAGGCTCCCCATCCCAGACTGGACCAGATCAGGCCGGACCAGCTTAGCATCATCACGACTCCATCATTCAAAGGCTAGGAATAGCCGGTAACCGATGCACCACTCCGTCTCAGGATGACGCCGTCTCTGCGGCTACTTGAGTCTTGCGCATTCGCCCAAACCCCCCGGGAATAGGATGGGAACGAAAAAGAGTCGAGACGTAGATGCCGGTTCATTCCCAGATTGGTTAGAGATGGCGGGGACAAACGGACGGATGGACGATTCAGGCACTTGTCAAAGCAGCTCGCTTGCTCACGGCCATGCAACCACCCCAGATGACCCCCGGGATCGACTCTTGGCAACGAGACGACCCCGTCACTAAACCCGCGCGGGTTTCCATGCCCGTGGTTTGGTTTCGGTCTGGCCCTTGCCAGCATCATGAGAGAAGCAGCAGCCGCAGTCTGTCGTTCTTCGATGTCGATATGCCAGTTTGAGCGAAATGGAACAACCTGGCAAGCCGTATGTGTGACATTGGCGGTATGGATGGTCCGTCTGTTGGCGATCTGCGACTGCATCTACCCTCAATTTTTGGTTCCCGCCATCCTCTAGCTCGGGACAGCAGCATCAGGCAGGATGACGAGCGATGACAACCCGAGTCTTGAGCGAGCTAATTAGCAGCGACCCCGAGACGCGCCCTCCCTGACTGAGGCTGTTGAGGTGGTGTCGCTGCACGCGGGCTGATCCTCCCCGCGTCGCTTCCCTTCCCCCCCCCCCTCTCCCATTCCCTTCCCTTCACTCCGGCAAACGGCAAACACGGCCGGGTCAGCACAGCACATCATGTCGAGATCCGTTTCGCTGAACTCGATATTACCAAGATTCGCGGGGTACCGTCCACAACTGCGCGTCCGAGGCACAGCACAGCGGACCGGGATACGATTTGCGTTGGCCTGTCGCACGCAGACGGCGGACGAGGTCGGAGACCGGCCTTCCTCCCGCCTTGAGTTGGGCTGAGCTGAGCTGCCAACAATCGCATCTCCCATCTGCCATCCGGCATCTGGCATACTCGTTCTCCAATCTGCAGTCTCCAATCCCCATCCGGGACCCTGACCGCCTACGAATACGCATAGGTGCCAGCGGTGCCATGCAGCCATGCTGCCAGGGGGGGAGAGGAGCAAGGAACCAGTCGTGTACAGATTGACCAGGCCGGGCTTGCCAGGGTAGGGCACAGCCATGCAGCTGGGTCCCTCTTCTCTTATTCCCGCTCACCTGGCCGCATATCCGGTCCTATAATATAACATCCTGCCACGCCCTCGATGCAAACTCCAGGAACGTCACTTGCCTGCTCTCTCGGCTTTCGCGCACCCTCTTTTTGGATCCCATCTGTGCACCGTGTGGAGGCCGGTCATGGATTCTGGAATTGTCAGCAACTTGCCCGCAGATACTTAGGTTTCTGATCAGGCCGCCGCCGCCGCCTTCGATACAGCCCGTCGTCTTTGCACTTCCTCAAACACCTTCGCAACAATGACGAGCTTAAGCCACGATATCGAAAAGGCGCCCCAGGGCTCTGGGGCAACGGGGCAGTCACCCTCGCTCCTCCAAGCCTCTCTCCAAGCTGGCTCGGAAACCCCTCCTCTTGACGAGAACAGCCCCATCACCTACCAGTACCTCACCTTCGAATCGGTTATTCCTGAGCCAGTATTTCTCGAGTCACCAGAGTCACCACCGCTTCCACCGGCCCCAGATCTCAACCGCTTCTCCAATCCTCTGCAATGGCCTCACGGACGCAAATACCTAATGTTGGCCCTCTCATGCATCGCCACCTTCTTGACAGCCTACACTGCTGGGTCCTACTCGCCCCCGGCCTCCATCATGGCTGCAGACCTGGACACAACTCGTCTGGCGATGCTTACCGGTATCACCACATTCTGCATAGGTTTCGCCCTCTCGCCCATGGTTCTGGCCCCCCTGTCAGAACTCTGGGGTAGATATCCCGTCTTCATTATATCCGGTGTGATCTATGTCATATTCCAAGCCGTCTGCTCCGTGGCACCAAATCTTGCCGCCATGCTCATCGCCCGTTTTCTGGTGGGCGTGGGCGGCTCCGTTTTCAGTTCTGTCATTGGCGGCGTCATTGCGGATCTTTGGGCAAAGGAGCAGAGGAATACGCCGATGGTATTTACCGATTTCCCGTGCCCTAGGTTCATATTAGTAATTAACATCACCCCAGGCCATCTTCAGCGGTGCAGTCTTGGCCGGGACGGGGGCAGGTCCATTGGTTGCTGCCATCATGACCAAGCGTATGGGAGCCACTGACCCGACCATGGCATGGGTTTGTCTCCCGGCTGTTTCTGTTACACCATACACATGCTAACCAATATCAATCTAGAAATGGATCTTCTGGCATCAAGTTATCATCGACGCGGTTCTTGTCATTGCTCTTGCTGTCCTCTTCAGGGAAAGTCGAGGCTCGGTCATTCTCTCCAGGAAAGCTAGGTTCATTAACCACTGGTACGAGCAACTCGAGACGGCTGGCCACTACGGCGTGTGGCTAGAGGACACGACGAACAACACCAACAACACAACGACGGATTCAACTTCGGATACTGATACCCAAGGAGGCTCAAGCTCCGGGCGAGAAAAGTCATCTACAACGTGTCGCTCAAGTCCACGATGCTCAACACAGCTGTCGCCGCAAAGACTTCGCTGGCTCGTAAAGGAGGACGAGGAGAGAGCTTCTGTCGCCACGATGATTTCCGTCTCCGTATCCAGACCATTTCTCCTCCTTTTCACGGAACCTGTCGTCTTCTTCTTCTCCCTCTGGTGTGCTTTTGCCTGGGCTGTCTTGTACTGCACATTTGGCAGCATCCCACTGGCATTCTCGCGAACGAGGAATTGGGACATTGAGCACTCTGGGTACTTCTTCAGCGCCATGATCGTTGGCTCCGTGGTAGCCACCATCGTTGGAGTCCTGCAGGATGAGCTCCTAAAGTTGCCTCAGTGGCGTGCCGATGTTGCCCCAGACAATTTGTCTTCCTTCTGGCTCTTCATGCGACGACGCTTACCCGCCGAGGCACCTGAGTCGCGTCTTTATTTCACTTGTATCACAGCCACCCTGCTACCTATCGGTCTCTTCCTCTTCGGATTCACTGCTCGCCACGAGGTTCATTGGATCGCTCCTGCAATTGGCATTGCCTTCGCTACGTGGGGTATCTATTCGGTCTACCTGGCGACATTCAACTATTTCGCAGACATTTACCATAAGTTCGCCTCCTCGGCATTGGCGGCGCAGTCCTGCTGCCGTAATATCTTGGGCGGAATATTCCCTCTTGTGACCGGTGCATTATTCCGAAATCTCGGCGAGGCTCGTGCTGGGGCACTGCTCGGCGGCATCGCCACGGGCCTGACCCTCATTCCTTGGGCGCTCGTGTTTTTCGGTGAGAAGATCCGGGCCAAGAGCAAGTTCGCCATCGTGAGTACTCCTCATCCTTCTGCTTCTGGAATGTTTGAAGCTAAATCCTTGTGAAAAGAATCTCGAACCTCAAAGATGAAAGACGCGACTATCTACTTGGATGATCATAACGACATGTTGGTCGTAATCGGCACCATACAGGTATGTCGTCGATTTGACGATGTGATTTTGCATAAAAGTAAATGAAGATACCCAAGACGAGATTTCAAGCCATCTCGATCATCTGCACAGCAACGCATTTTCTGTAACATTATCATTTACAACAACTTCATACTGCATATCTTCCATGTTTGTGGGCGAAAAATTTCTCAGGCATTTTTGAACCAACTTCATGAGACTGGGTTCCCCGCCTTACCGACCAGATGCGAGTATTAGATAGACACATACATAGATCCTGATAATACAAAACTTCTCTGTGAAGGCCATACAGGGGTCTTTAACCGTTCAAAACCACTGCTCACTTGTGTATACTCTACGAGCACCTGAATCACATGCATTGTCCTCCAACCCATATTCCCGAATCGCTCAGTCCACATCATCAGCATTCGTATCCGCCTCTTGCGGAACCGGGCCCAAATGCTTCTTGGCCTCGTCGAGAGCTTTGGTTTCGTCATGGGCGTCCTGTTGCTCCTTGTCGGGCGGAGGCAAGTCTCCGGCCTTGGGCCCATCGGCATCCGCCTTGAGCGTCCCGTCCTCGTTTACGTCGGTCTTGTAATGGATGGTGAAGAGGACCACGAGGTAGACGTCGCCAGTGGAACGGTTCCGGAGAACATATCTGAGCTGGTGTGAGCGCTTCGGCCCTCCTTCCCTGCAAAGAAGTAAGAACGACATGAGAAGTGAACATAAGAAAGGTTTTCTTGTTTAATGGCGTGCCATGGCGTAGTGTCGCTGAATTCCGATCCCAGTTCCAATTCCAAAGTCACCCCCAGGGGAAGGGACTGAGTACCATGAAAGAATCAAAGTGGGCGTAAACTCGCACGTAAAACACACAAGAACGGCCAAGCCTGGATGAGAAAAGGGGTAATCAACTCACCTCAGTCCCTGTCCGTCCCAGTACTTCATGATGGCAAGCTGAAAACCGGGCAATCGAAGAGCCAAGTTGGAGAAGTCCAGATACGGGTTGAAAAAGTCCATGCCGTACGTCTTGCCGTACTCGAACACCCACTGCTCCTTGCTGTCTTTCCTCAGCGCCCACTTCATGCGCTCTTTGGACGTTGCGGGCGCACCGACCGTCTCCCGCATCTCCAACCCGTCCTCGTCGCCTCCCTCCTCAAACCAGAGTCCTCCCTTCTCCTCGTCGTAGGTGCCCGCACCCGCATGGATTACGTTGAAGGAACTCAGGGCGGGTCCGTAGAGGTACGGCGTGTCCGCGTAGGCGTCGCCCTCCAGGCCGGGGTCGATCCACCATTTGACGATGTTCATGGCCGTGTTGAAGCCCGGCGGCAGACGGTCCCTGATGGGGTGGTCAAAGTCGTTGCCGAACTGGAGGTCGGCGGCGGAGATGCCCTGCTCCGAGGATCCCTCGGGCTTTTTGGGCGTGAAGCGGAAGGAGATGCTGTACTGGTCATTGTTGCTGGAGTGAGGCTCCGTGGAAAAGTAGGATGAGGTCGTTGGTGATTTGCGGGGGAGGCCGGCGTAATTCTGTATGCGGACATTGAGCTCAATGTCGGCGAGTGGCGTGCTGATTTTGACGGGCTTCGGGGTGTTGACTGGGACTTCGGTTTGTGAGTCTGCGTCGTAGTTCGGGCCGGCCGTCACCCGTAGGATGTACTTGTCTGACATGGTGGGTGAAGGGGAGGGGTCTTATTTTCGGGTAATGAGTTTGGTCCTGCTCTCCGCCGTAATCAAAGGTGTTTGCTGATATTGACGGCGATGAAAGTGAACGCAATCTCAGTCCGGACGGGGATGTCGTCACAAGACAAAACGTGTGAATCCGGGGACTGTGCTGTAATGTTTCAGGATTCCAACCAGAGCAAGCCTGAAGTTTGCTGTCTCGGTCCGTAACCTCAATGAGCAAGTCAACAGCAAGAGTAGACTGATTTAGCCGCGTGATGCTATTGTGGATGAAGTCGCGATTGGGACGAGGTTAAAAAGGTAAAATAGGTGTCGTCCCAAGATGCGGAACTTTGGCGGCAGACACAGTTCTGAAGGCGGGTTTACAGCTGGGTGGTTCAAGGGTGAAAGTCAAGCAACGCCCGGATCCTTGCTCACCACCACCACTTTTTTAAGGCGGAAGGATGCGCCAAGTTTGGTAAGGCTTAAAAAATGGGGGGAAAGCGAGCCGCAATGACGTTGAGATGAGAGACTAAGGGACTGCCACTTCGCGTACCAGTAGAGAAATGGACCGTCTGGCTGTTTCCTGCCTTACCTCATCCAACCAGAATAATTGCATGTGAAACAATGAAGGGTGGCGTTTTGAATGCCATTCGAGCTGGACAAGATTGTAAAGTTTTCGTCATTACGTCGGATAAAAGCGGGAGCAAAGAAGCGAAGAAAATCAGCAGGAAATAAATTCTCGCATGGCGCTAATCTCACTCAACATGTGTTTTGCGGGGTGGGGTGGCGGGGTCGAGGTCAAGCTGTTGACGTGGAGCTCAGTTCACAACGACAGATTGCGACACTAATCCTAGGTAGCAAGCTCTGTAGGAACGACCTCTATTTGAGCGCGAGAGCTGACAAGCATACCGTATTTTAGAGGCGTTACTGAGTTATTCATTCCCCATCTCTAGGCTAAGATATGTAAATCTGTAACGTTCGCATCAGCAGCGAAGCCCGCCAACTCATTACACGGACACAACACTTCCACGTCTTCTTCGATGCCATGACTCTCCACAATCTTCCGACTGAGGCTCACGGTGTAATGAACTCGTCGATATTGACCCTTTCAAAGAAACTTATGTGACCAAATGTGACCCAGTATTGCGCAAGTCTGTCATGGGAAATGAGCATAAGCTGGGACTCAATGTATCTGTCTATAAAGCAAAGAGCCGTTAGCATATATTCATCGACGGAGTGAGGACGCTGGCGCCAACCTTCCATGAAACCGGTTCCAGCCACATGTCCCTTGCTCTTCACAACTCGTGTGCCCTGGAAGGGAGGTTCCTGGGCTAGCCCTACAAAGCCTGCCTCACCGAGGTCATCTGCAACGAAGGTATACTCTCCCCTGGGCACATTGGGGTCCCCGGTGAGCTTAATTGCTTCCAAACGGCCTCGATGTACTCTCGCATCCGTACGTCGGCGTGTCCACTCATCGTCCGACTCATCAGCAGAGCGCACCAGACCAAGCTCCTCGTCAGATACTTCTTCGTCGTCCGGTTGGTTGATCAACAAGAACTCGCAGCCGTGACCGCTGTAGTCGCCTACCCAAATGCCGCGCCATGGCTTGAGCGGCGTCGGCGTGTAGACGATGGGATCCAGCGTCGAGTAAGTGACAACTTCCTCGCCGATATGCACTCCTGGTAGGCCTCGCGCCGAAAGATTGGCATGAATAGCCCGTATCAGGCCGGCAGGGCCCGCGCCGACAAACAGCCCCGCTGCCGGGGCACCGGCCATCTCCATCCAATGCCGGATGCGGAAGGCTTGGTCAGAAGCCTCGGCTCTTCGAGTCGGCAGATCTGTTGGCGTGAGGTCGTCACCGTGCAGTCCTGAGACAACGCCTGCTACACGATGGCGAGCCGGAATCGCTGGAGGAGGCCAAACATTGCCATATGGGAAGAGCGTTCCCATTCTCGAAGTGGCCGTGGCTGCATCGAGCGGCCGAGCCAGCAGGAAATTGCTGAACATGGCATCGGACCGGTCGTTAATTACCATGGGTACTTCAGCGGCAAAGCGATTCTTCATCGCCTCATAAAAGTTGCGCGACTGCTCTCGGTAATTCGGGTAGAACTGGAGTACCGGTTTGTCTAAATGGAGCTTGACTTTCGGCTCGAACGCATGGATCATGACAGTTGCATCGGCAGGCCAGTGCTGGTATGTAGTGCGATTGCTGATGGCCAGCAGCTGGTACCCTTCAATGCATCCTCTCCGCGGGTCGTACCTCACGACAATCATCTTGCCCATGAGGTCGCGGTCGCAGAACCAGATCTTGTATTTGGGTAGAAACCATCTTGGATCATGGGCTGTGTACAGCTCGCGGTAGGTATTACACGGGTACGGTGTGTCGAGTTTTACGCCCGGCACGTTCGCTTGCACCCTTTGATACCAATGGACGTCGGATGCGGCGTGGGCATGGAGGCTACGACAAGTCTCGGAGACAATGGCCAAATCGCAAGGCGACAGGTATGCGAGGATTGAGTCTATGAGTTCAGAGGGCAGTGACAGAAGTAGGCAGCCGTCGGCTGGCGGAGGATAAATGTCTAGCAAATGAGTTGCAAGTCAGATGGCGGTCGGACAAGGATACTAGTGTGGAGGACAGCGTACCAGCAGGCTTCACGTTATTAAGTCCAGTTGGAAGCGGATAGTAGTCGGTTTGAGGTGATCCAATTGTTTTCCGGCGGTCCGTAACATCGCTTCGCAAACCTTCGTCGGATACGTATGGTAGAATATAGAGGTTCGACTCAACTTCCGGGTCGATGCCGCCGTAATTGCTGCTCGAATTTGAAGTGGTACTAGGTGCTGGGGCAGCGTCGTCGGAGGCCGAGCTGGAGGCGGGAGGAGTAGAAGCCATCTTGTCTGATGTGACCATGTCTGGACAGGGACAAAGCAAGGCAAGAAGTCGTGTGCCACACAGTCGGCAACCGTTGCCGATCAGGGCGAACAGCGTCGTGCAATGTCCAGGGCAGGAAGAAGGCTGGCCAAGTAGGTGGTATGGCTTTCCTTTCCGGATGGACTAGGCAGCTTTATGTGGACGGCCTTGGAGGCGAGACCAGCCAAAAGGGGGTGCTGGGAGTTCGTTGGCTTTGGTGGCAGGTTGTTGAGGTAGGATGGTGCAGGTCGTCGGTTCGATCGGTCGGTCGGGCGGTGGTTCGAGGACGGGTGGCTTATCAAGGTGTCAAGTCAACAAGTCATGGAGGACGTGGTCGGGCAACAATGATGCGTGGGAGGCGTGGAGTCGTCAGTGTTGGGGTCATGACTCCAGACTTTGTGTCTCCACGTCTCCGTCGCCGTCTCCGTCTCCGACGAGCCGGGGTGAGGGTGTGAAGGTGGCAGTCCTCGTCGCGGTCGGACCAGAGGTTCCCTTGGTCTAGCAATCGGTGGTGGTTGCTGTTGCAGCAGCTGTGAAGTCCCGGTTACGGCATGCCAGGAGCCTGGTAAGGTGTGCAGCTGTTGTCGGGGCACGACTAATGCAGTGCCCGGCGGATGGGATCTGGTTCTCGGAAGAGGAAGGCTGCTCGGGGCGTTGCATGAGGTGCAGCGGTGCTAGCTGGGGTGGAGGATATGCATGCCGGTGGTGGTGGTGGTGCTGCTGCTGCTGCTGCATCTCTCACTCACTGGAAACCAGCCCGGGAGGATACGTTCCCGTCAGCACCTCACCGGGCTGGGTCACAGCGCACGGGGCACCGGGAGCCGGGAGCAGATTGCGGGGAGCCTTTGGCCATATTGGATGTACGCACATGGTTGCGTTTACACCCTACCTACCTACCTAGTACCCTACCTGCGAATACCTAGCCGATACTATTGCCGGTAGGCGTACGGGAGTATGCCGGCCTCCAATTGAGGTACGTCAAGCTTGAAGTTTGCAGTTGGGCGTTCAGCTGCCCCTGACAAAAGAAACAAGCCCCTTGCCCCCTTTCAACACTCCAATCTCAACCTCAGCTCATGGCTTGAGTACCCTGTGAGCTCTCGCTTATCGGACGTTATGCCCGATAGATGCAACTGGGCCTAGCCCAGCGATAACGCCATCGATAAGCCTTGGTCCTGTGGTCCTCTTATGGTGCATACAGCTGCTTGGAGCAACACCAGCGATGCCTGTTGCCGCCCTTCAGGCTGCCATTTGGAGACTTGCTCCCAACATCCGGCAGACTGAAGGAGCATCTTGTTCTTATCTCGAGGCTGGATCCTGTTCCATCTGGTGCTCGTGCAGCTGCAGCCAGTCAGTCGATCCACAATCTCGGCGTGGCCAAGCCGGCGGTTCTCTTGTCGTGCAACCAATGCATCGTCAAAAGGCCCTGGCCAAGCCTGGCTTAAGGGAACCTTTGCGAGAGGAATCTGGAGAGGAACCTTTGCAGAATGGGAGCGAGAAACATCCATTGGTCCATGTCGAAACTGGCCCAGTCGCTTTTGTTGGTCCATCTGAGATGCAACACCAGACGTATTGACGCATAAGAGATGAACCCCTCATGCATACATATGCATATAACGGTGTATATGCAAGTCAGGGAGAATGTTCACCAGCCTGCCCAATTAGGTAGGCACCCAAGACACGGCGGGGCTCCCATCCACGTCTCCTTCCTCTTACCACTACGTCGTCCGCTACGTACGCTACGGCTCACTTCATTCCAATTCCCTCAGACCCAGCGAATTTCGACCCACGACCCTCGACCCTGACCACTTTCACCTCAACCCAAGGCTACCTGACCTCGACCTTGCCTTACCTACCATTTGAAGCCTCGCTTCCCACCTGCCCTTGGATTTTTGTGACCAGGCTTAATTACGCTTATCCTTCGTCCTGGGAATCACATCATTTTCCCTAGCCTCGCTCCAAAAGCATCCATACCACGCCCCTCACTTGGCAACCATATCTGAACCACCATCCAACGTCAGAATCGACTACCTTCTGGCAGTCATCATCCGCTGTCAAAGTTGCCGTGCGGTCGGCCTCGCCGCTGGCTCTCCCCACCACAACACCTCCTTCACGACGGACGCGCCTTGCTCCAACACCTCAGCTTGCTTAAGCACCTTGTCACATCGTCTCGTCTCGCATCAACGCGTGTGACACTCGCAATACGATTTTTTTCGGGGCTCCCAAAAGTCATTTAGCCAGCAATATAGTCGCTCGGTGTCTTGGAATCCCGGCCATTCGCTGTAGCCGTTGCCGGAGTGCCCACTTCACCTCCAAGACCGCCCAACGTCTCCTTCCTACTTGGTGATAGCTTCCGTCCGCCACTGGAGGGCTGCCCTACCAACCCCGAACCGACCTCTTCCTGTCTCCGGAGCGCGTCAAGACGACACGCCTGAACCTCCAGACCGCTTTCTGCAGTTCCGACCTTGGAGGGCCACCGGAACCTCGGAATCCCGCCTGACCAGCATCCTGCAGGAAACCATGTCGTCCTTGATCCCTCTCATCAGCGACTTGCTTCCCATGATCATCTCATCCTCCTCGGTTCACATCACAAAAGCAACAACGCTACGCGCGCCCGATACAACTCCAGAACCAGGCCCCGCCAAAGAGGCCGATGCCATTGTCAGCAAAAGCGATAAGCTCTGTGCTTCTGGTATGTTACACCCGGCCGGTCCAGCCTGCCTCCCCCCCTGCTCAACCAGCACGCAACATACTTCTTCACTGATGGCGCTCCCTGTGTAACTATTTTAAGCAGTTTTGACTCTCCAACCGCATACTACATCCTCTGTGCGTCATCACGGCGAGCAAGGTCAGATTCGTGCCCCCGTTTTATCCCCCTCTTTCACGCCCCCAACCTGTCACTGTACTGCCCTCCCGCCCCCTTGTGATGGGTCTCTAATACGTGCCAAGATACCATTATTTACACAACCTCCGGCACCGGAGTTCTACTTGTCAGCCCGGGTGCGGCGCAAGAGGTCAAGCGACATGATATGGAAGCCGGAGACTTCGCATTCGTTCCGGCTTGGACGGAACACCAGCTGCTCAACGAAACAGATCAAGAGAATGCGTGGGTCATCACCCGCAGCGGCTCGCAGCCGGTGGTAGTAGGCCTAACAGACTGGGGTGGTGACCGAGCCAAATAAGGCCGTTTGCGAATGAAGTTGGACTGCCTTGACAGCTGGCTTCCCGTGGTGTCACATGGTACAACACTCCGAGCCTAGGAGCCACCACTGAGAAGCGACTTCCCCTTTCCCGCGCGCAAGTTCATTTTCTCCATGGTGTATTTGCCGAGCCGCTTGTCTGTCATTTCTCGCAGTATTCTCGTACGACATCGACAATACGCCCTCTGTCCCGCACTGAGTCAAACACCTGCGCGTGGTCTCTGTGGGGGAACCAAAGCACGTCTATGCCCGACCCAGCTGAATATCGATGCTCGCTTCCCAAACCAGCCACTCCGGCAGCATTACGCCGACCCTGCTTCTCTTCGCCCTGCGCACATGCGGGGTCGCTTGACTTCCCGTCTGCCAAATATTTGGCGACAGCATGGCTGTCAACTATCAAATCCTGCCCCGATAAGCAGACGGTGATCTTCCTTGTTGCGGTTCGCCCATTGCTCGTTGATCCGTCAGTTCGAGCCGCTTGTTCCAATTCTGGATGGTGTCCTGCGAGCTCCTCGGCCCAGATGACATTCTCCCTCCAGAAGAAGTATCTGCCGAGGCAATGGGCAACCCCTGGATCTGTACTTGCGAAGTACCACAGCTGCCACTCATTGGCGCGCTTTGGCTGACGCCGTGTGAAGTTGAATGCCACGTCGGGGAGATGGAGCAGTATGCTCACGGGATCTATGAGCACCGCTCGTGGGATTCTCGCCTGCAACTCCGGACAGCGCAAGACATGCGTTGTCAAAACAGACCCATATGAGTGAGAAACAAGAACAAATTTGTCCCACGAATGACGGTCGAGAATCTCGGTGAATTGTTTGAGAAAAGCGTCCTTTCCCAGAGGAGGCTTCGTCAACCGAAAGGATATCGGCAAAATCTCGAGAGCTATAACCCCAACCTGGCCCTCTCCTCCGACTTTACTGGCGCTGATTTCAGCGAGGAAACGAATGTACACCCATAGTCCTATCCCTATGCCGTGGAAGAAGACAATAGGCAGTCGGTCAGATTGTCGATGTGGGCGATGCCAATAGCTCAATCCAGATGAGGAGCGACGCTGGGCAGCAAGTTGTTGAATTCGTGGTGGGAAGACGGCAAGGGTTTCATCTCTACTTTGAGCATAGTACTCAAAGCCATTGAACACGAGGAGAAGATGGGTGAGGGCGTCCACGAGAGCCATGATGGCGTACCACCAAACGCTGCGATACTTGGTCTCGATTTCGTCAAACGTGAGCCGTAGACTTTGCGCAGGGCCACGGCCGTCCTTGAATGGTTTACCCAGCAATTGTTCGGTCCGGCTGATGTATCGGCCCACTTCCTCCTCAACTTCGCTTGAAATGGGGATTCCCTCGGCGCCTTCGTCAAAGAAGGCCCAGAGGAGGAATTCTCGAACATTATCACGGCGAATGTCCTTAAGCTCTGACCCCAAGAACCACCCGCGGAGGTACAACTCCGGGTTCGGAACTGTGGCCATGCATCGGTCAAAAAGGGCTCGTCTTGCAGCCGGCGACGATGGGGCTGGATGTTTCGCAGCTTCCCCCAGCCGGGTCTTATATGGCTTCCAAATGAATAAGGCAAACGCCAGCTCAACAAACATGAAGCCGACAACCCATGAAGCAGCGGCCGTCCATCGCGGGTCCGGGGAGCCAGACTTGGAGCCAAGGAGGCAGATGGCGAGAGCGGATGCGTATGTAATGATGGGATATTGCAGCAAGGCTATGCATATGCGAATGAAGATGAGTTCGTGCAACGTGCGTCCAAGCATTTTGACTGGATATTGCGTCGTTTGCAATCAAACTGAGGATAAAGTTATCGACGCGGTGACAAACGGCAATGAAGGTAAGAAGCAACTGAGCACAGTGACACAACGCCGAGAAAACTGCAAAAGCATGCCAAGTGGCTGGACTTTTATCAAGCTTGAATCCGAGTTGGTGTTTTCGAGCCCGATGTTGACGGGCATGTGATTTGTTGGGATTCGCTTGTTGCGCTGGGGCCTTGAGCGTGCCTGGCTGGTGTGCTCTCGGGCACGTGTCGCACGCGAGACTGGGATTGAAATCGGAAGAGTTTTGCTGATTGGTTTGCAGCTCAAGTAAGTCGCCACGTCAAATCCTCACAACCAGTGCGTTCTATGGGTCTTCAGAACGATGAGATCAATTAGGTAGTGTAAGTGCGGACGTGGTCGGTACGTACCGGACTCTAGTCGCTGGGATTTTCAACCGATCTCGAGAAAAGATTATTCTGTGCAAGGTATTCACTACAAAACAACATTTCGCGTATGTCACCTGTCCGTCGCCATTTCCTTCGTGTACTGCGGCAGAAATTCCGATGGACACATACGCGTCGAACTCAACCGATGTTGATGCCGTATCGTAATCCGGGTTCCTGCACGCATGGGCCGACGTAATCTTCTTGCCTTACCTCGGTTCCCAACCGTCATGCTCAAGAAGCACCTCATCAGGCAAGGGCCATGGAGCTTGGATTTTCCGCCCGAGGCTGGGTACCATGTCATATGAAAACATTCCATTCCGTAAGTCGTACTGCAAATAACCTTACTGTAGCGTTGCATGGCTACTGGATTCAGCCGGCGCAGACCAGAATTTGACATAGTGTTTGATCAATTAGCCGATCCTGAAAAGGTAGCCCTTCCTCCGACATGTCCAAATCGGGGTAGTCAGCGGCAGCATAGATATTAAAAGGCACGTTATTTTCTAGCTGCCGGCGGGGAAGTTGATGGCAGTCGACCTAACTTGGCACTGAGGAGCTTGCCCAGTGGTTGAATCTTTTCTCAACCTCTTGAGGCTGTAAGTATAGCCGCCGGCATTCAATGGTAAGTATTGCGTAGCTTATAGGATTGCTACAGAAATATGCGTTCACAAGAACCTCATGCTACTTTCCCCGCGTAGTTACATCCATTTCTCCGGGCCTCTGTCAGGGGCTGAAAGATAAAATGGCCCTTCAAGCGCTTGAATACACGATGATTGTCTCATCAATCCATCAGAAAATAGCACTTCTCGTCAACTGCAGACAAGATATCTCTACTTCTTGACAACGCAACATGGCCCTGCGTCTCGCAATCACTCTGCTTGCAAGCTCTGTTCTGGCATTGCCTGCCGGGGACTTGTTAGAACGCCAAGCTGACTGCAGCAAGGCGAAGACGAACGTCCCAGCAGTCAACGATGCAAAGCTTCCAGACCCCTTCACGTTCGCAGACGGCTCTAAGGTCACTACAAAGACCGACTGGGCCTGCCGGCAGACCGAGATTCAGAATGCCTTTAAGCAATACGAAGTCGGAGATTTCCCTGGGCCCCCGAGCAAGGTCGAAGCTTCACTTTCTGGAAACACGCTCAATCTGAGGGTCACCCAAGGCAGCTCTACTATCAGCATGAGCGCCTCCATCCAGAAGCCCTCTGGAAGCGGACCGTTCCCCGCCATCATTGGCATCGGGGGCGCAAGCATCCCTATTCCTGGCACTGTCGCCCAGGTCACTTTCAACAATGACCAGTTCGCTGCTCAGAACGGACAGTCCAGTCGTGGCCAGGGACTTTTCTACAACCTGTTTGGAAGCGGACACAGTGCCGGGGCGTTGACTGCCTGGGCCTGGGGTGTTGGTCGCATCATTGATGGCCTCGAACAACTCGGTACTGCGGCCACTGGCATTGATACCAAGCGCCTTGGAGTCACCGGCTGCTCGCGCAATGGCAAGGGTGCCTTTGTAGTCGGTGCATTGGAGAAGCGTATCGCCTTGACCATCCCTCAGGAGTCCGGCTCCGGAGGCGCAGCCTGCTGGCGCATCTCGGACAGCGAGAAAAACAAGGGCAAAAATATCCAGACCGCAGGCCAGATCGTTGGAGAGAATGTTTGGTTCTCGCCGAACTTCAACACTTGGACCTCGAGGACATCTCAGATGCCAGAAGACCACCACTTCCTGGCAGGATTGGTGGCGCCGCGAGGCCTGTATGTTGCAGAGAACGATATTGACTGGCTGGGCCCCGTGTCGACCACAGGATGCATGAAGGCCGGAAGACAGATCTATCAGGCCCTTGGCGTGCCCGAGAACATGGGTTTCTCTCTGGTTGGCGGGCACAACCATTGCCAGTTCCCGAGCAGCCAAAACTCGGAGCTCACGCAATACATCAACTACTTCCTACTCAATTCAGCAACGAAGCCATCGATTACCGAGCGTAGTACCGTCAACGTCAATCTGCAAGATTACGCCAGCTGGACGGCTCCAACACTCTCTTAGCCAAATTGCATGACAGGCTTCAGTTTTGTACATAGGAACCGGGGAAATGCAGGCCTGGATGGGGAAGGATTACACTCTTTAACTAGGTACCTCACAAGACGTGTGAATAAAGACAGCAGCATGGTAAATACTGAAGATCCTCGTGGACGAGTCTTGTTCGTGTGTTAATCGTCCTCCAATGAAGCGCTAATCTACACCGGAACCCAGCCGGGCTTCGGCCGGGACCACACCCCACCAAGCCGGGTCCGGGTGGATCTGACAGACGGGATGTCATAATTATGCACACGCGCATAGTGATACTGCATGCTGTTGGCTCGTGCTTATGCATTCCCCACTTCCAAAAATGTTAAGCGAGTGCCTGCTCCTGGCCCCTGCGTGGAACGTCAGGAGTTCCTTGCCCCCCCCGGTCGTTCAATTAAACACAGCTCTGAGCCAGACGCGGCAAGGACGCGGTTACGCGACTCCACGATCTTTCCCGACGCGATTCCCAGCACTGCCGGGGCACGGCACTTGCTGCAGTCCCAAAAAGGTACACACCCACCCACACTTCGGACCTTCTGCCTTCTCGCTCGTCTTTCTAGAGCTATCGTCGAACGCGGCGTTCCCAAGTCGACTCAAGAGCTCTCGAATCTGTCAATTGACCATTCTTCTTTCCACTTATTACTTTCGTCTAGCCTTCCTTTATCCCAACTAGACCGGGAACACACCGAATTTCGATTCTTCTTCCTACAAGACAGACTACCTTCGTTTGACCTACAACCGCACTTTCACCGATCCAACTCGCCGTCATGGCGCCCAAATCATCACCAGCGGCTCGCACGCCAGCCAAAACTCCCTCGCTGAAGCGCCAGCCGTCGTCGTCTTCGGGAACTCAGAAGACTATAGTACAGTTCTTTTCCAAGTCTGCCTCCAAGCCGACCCCCAAGCCCGCGGCCAAAGGCCCCGACTCATCGCCATGCCTCAGAGAGTCTACCCGAACGAACGAACTCCCCAAGGTCAAGCAACCTCCCAGCATGACCCCCGTCCCCAGCAGTGACGCCATGGAGCCCTCGAGCTCCCAGGAGAATATGGACGGCACAGGGCTCAAGGTAGCTCAGGACTCCTTGCCATCACCGTCTACTCCCGCTGAGACTGTGACCCCGCAGGTGTCTCGTAGCAGACCTGTTCTGCCTTCCTCTAGCCCTACGCGAAAGGTATGTTTGCCACGACGCTAGTTCTCCGAGGCCGCATGCTGACTCGGCGTCTTCACAGGGTAGAAAGGCCGTCAACTACGCTGAGCCGTCCGATGACGAAGACGATGACCCGTTCGACCGCATTAGAGCCGCAGGCACGCGTCGTCGTACCAAGACACCCGCTGTTCCAGCTGATGATGGCGACGATTATGAGGATGCCGCCAGCAATGATGGGCCCGACGAGGACGAAGGTAAGGATGAAGCTCGTTGCAAAAAATCTTCCTGTTTCTAATGCGGTGTAGAAATGGACGACTTTGTCGTGTCCGACGAGTCGGATGCTCCCTCACGCTCTAAGAAGCGCAAGCGCCCCGAGACTACAAAGAAGACACAATCAAGGAAGAAGACAACAGTCTCTTCGCCAATCAAGGAAGAAGAGACCGCAGACGAGGACGAGATGATGGAGGAGCTGCCTTCGACTTCCACTGCCCAGCAATGGCGCTACGATCCGAATAGCGTTGCCTCCTCTGCTCCTCGTTCTGCCCAGGGTCCGGCGGTTCGTCGACCAGCCGCTTCCAAGCGGAAGGAGAAGGCTCACGCCACCGAGCCCGAAGCCCGATATCCTTGGCTGGCCAACATCCAAGACATTAACAAGAACTCCCCTGGCGATCCCGAGTACGATCCCTCCTCTGTCTACATTCCTCCAGGGGCGTGGAACAAGTTCTCTCCCTTTGAGAAGCAGTACTGGGAAATCAAGCAGAAACTGTGGGATACCGTTGTCTTCTTCAAGAAGGGCAAGTTCTACGAGCTGTACGAGAATGATGCCACTATTGGTCACCAGCTCTTCGACTTGAAGCTCACAGACCGTGTCAACATGCGCATGGTCGGTGTTCCTGAGAGCTCCCTCGACATGTGGGTCAACCAGTTCGTTGCCAAAGGTTACAAGGTTGCTCGCGTTGATCAGATGGAATCCGCCCTTGGCAAGGAGATGAGAGAACGAGGCGATACGTCTGCCAAGGCGAAGAAGGCCGACAAGATCATTCGTCGAGAGCTAGCCTGCGTCTTGACTGGCGGCACTCTGGTGGATGGTAGCATGCTGCAGGACGACCTGGCGACCTTTTGCGCGTGTATCAAGGAGTCCGTCATTGACGGCAGCCCCGCATTCGGCATCACGTTTGTGGATTGCGCGACTGGCCAGTTCTTCATCTCGGAGTTCGAGGACGATGCCGACTTGACCAAGTTTGAGACTTTCGTTGCGCAGACCAGCCCCAGAGAGCTCATTCTGGAGAAGTCGAGAATTTCAACCAAGGCTCTTCGCATCCTCAAGAACAACACTTCCCCAATGACCATCTGGAACTACTTGAAGCCGGCCACTGAGTTCCTTGACGCCGACATGAGCCGCCGGGAAATATCCAGTGGTGGCTACTTCGCCAACGAGGACGGAGAGGAGACATGGCCTGATGCTTTGGCCCAGGCCAAAGACAAGGACCTGCTGATGTCTTCTTTGGGTGGTCTTATCCACTATCTCAAGTTTCTGAAGATTGAGGGTAGCCTGCTGTCGCAAGGCAACTTCGAGTGGTACACTCCCATCCGCCGTAACGGCACTCTCATCCTAGACGGTCAAACCCTGATCAACTTGGAGATTTTTGCGAACACTGTGAATGGCGGCCCCGAAGGCACGCTCTTCACTCTTCTGAACCGATGTGTCACTCCGTTCGGCAAGCGACTCTTCCGTCAGTGGGTTTGCCACCCGCTTTGCGATATCAAACGCATCAATGAGCGACTCGATGCTGTCGATATGCTCAACTCTGATCGAAGCGTTCGAGAACAGTTCTCGTCCCAGATGACGAAGATGCCGGACTTGGAGCGTCTCATTTCCCGAATTCACGCAACGCTCTGCAAGCCCGAAGATTTCGTCCGTGTCTTGGAGGGTTTCGAGCAGATTGAGTACACTATGGGCCTGCTGGGTGCCTTTGGCGGCGGCAACGGCCTCATCGATCGCCTTCTCGCATCCATGCCTAATCTCAATGAGCCACTGTCGTACTGGAAGACTGCTTTCGACCGGAAGAAGGCCAGAGACGAGAAGCTTCTTATTCCAGAGCGTGGCATTGAGGAAGACTTCGACAACAGCCAAGATCGCATCGAAGAGATTAAGGAAGAATTGCAATCGCTTCTTGGAAGAAAGAAGTCGGAGTTGAAGTGCAAGACAATCAAGTTCACGGATATCGGCAAGGAAATCTATCAGATCGAAGCACCTAAGGCTGTCAAGGTGCCAAACAACTGGCGCCAAATGTCGGCGACTGCAAGCGTCAAGCGCTACTACTTTGAAGAGCTGACGGACTTGGTCCGTGAACTTCAGGAAGCAGAGGAGACACACTCTCAGATCGTCAAGGAGGTTGCTACGCGCTTCTTCCAGCGCTTCGACGCTGATTACGACACGTGGTCGCAGTCGATCAGGATCATTTCTCAGCTCGACTGCCTCGTCAGTCTTTCCAAGGCTTCGTCATCGCTGGGTGAGCCCAGTTGCCGCCCGGAATTTGTGGACGAAGACAGGAGCGTTGTCGAGTTCGAAGAACTTCGCCACCCCTGTATGCTTAACACAGTGTCTGACTTCATTCCCAATGATGTCAAGTTGGGAGGCGATTCTGCCAAGATCAACCTGCTGACCGGTGCCAACGCTGCTGGCAAATCGACAGTTCTGCGAATGGTAAGAATTCTGTGCTATATGTTCCTAGACTAGATGCTGACTTCATGACAGTCTTGTGTTGCTGTCATCATGGCGCAGATCGGATGCTACGTGCCCGCTGTGTCTGCACGACTTACCCCCGTTGATCGAATCATGTCACGACTTGGTGCTAATGACAACATCTTTGCATCTCAATCAACATTCTTTGTCGAACTGTCGGAGACCAAGAAGATCTTGTCGGAAGCCACACCACGGTCTCTAGTCATTCTGGATGAGCTCGGACGCGGTACCAGCTCCTATGACGGTGTCGCCGTTGCGCAGGCCGTTTTGCATCATGTTGCAACCCACGTAGGCTGCGTTGGCTTCTTCGCGACTCATTATCACTCTCTCGCCACTGAGTTTGAAAACCACCCAGAGATTGTGCCTCGTCGTATGCAGATTCACGTTGATGAAGAAGAGCGTCGTGTTACTTTCCTCTACAAGCTGGAGGAAGGTGTTGCGGAGGGCAGTTTCGGAATGCACTGCGCAGCGATGTGCGGCATTTCCAACCGCGTAATCGAGCGAGCTGAGGTGGCAGCCAAAGAATGGGAGCACACAAGCAGGCTTAAAGAGAGCCTGGAGAAAGCCAAGTCGGGCTGCTACATCCCTCTTGGTGTGCTCAGTGATGTGGCGTCACTGCTTAATGGTGGCGATGAGGTCGGGAAGAGGGGTGTTGAGGTGCTTTTGAGAGCCGTGGAGGCTCTTTAAGTCGGTTTATTTCTTCGGGAGTGAAAATATTGGTGCGAAGCTATACCGTGGCCAACGATGGCTACCTGTTGTTATGATAATGTCGAAAGGGTTTGGCGTCGAGGAGTTTTACATGGTCGAAGGATGGTCATACAGGAATGCACATGTAAAGATAGAGGCGTGTTGCTCGTTACGTTGCTTGGCATTCTGGTCTTTGCAAACAAATAGGTTGTTTCTAAGTTCGACCCACACTCGGAAGCGTGTCCGATAACTTGCATGAACTTCATGATGCTGCAATGATGATGGATAGGTAGGTATCGGTTGGCCTGGGCCCGTACGTGTTCCGGCGCGCAATCCAAACCCTCGTCACACAACATTGCCAGAAGGAAAGAAGGCGTGGCGGAGAGTGAGTCGATGAAAGTTCGATGTCACGCAAGCTAACCATGGCAAAGAACACGAATCTGGCATCGATTAGACGAGACGAAGACCTTTTTGCCATGAGGCTGATGGATTTGGCTTTACCGTATCCTACGACAAGATACCTATGGGCGTATGCTGTGTACCCCCAGAAGGAGCGAGCTGAAAAGCTTCCGCCCCTGGGCCAGGAAAAGGGGACTCTGCAGGACAGTCGCATATCGCACCCGTAAACGGATCCTTTCCGACAAATGCCACCTATTTCTCCAACCAACCGGGACGAAGACGCGGCGACTAGCGCAGAAGGATATCCCTGGGAGGCGTTGGACTTGAAATTTTGATGTGACCGAGGCTGTCTGCGAGGTTGGAATTAGCCGGCGGCGAGGTGCAAGTTCGCGGACTGCCCGGTCCGGGTTGCTACACGGCAGCACGCTAGGCTTGCGGCGCACGAAACAGGTCCTCCACCAGAGGCAAAATGTTCAATGGCTTATAATACAGGGGTCACACCATTCCTTTGCGTGAGCCGGATCTTTTGATCTGGCGCGACAGGACGGGTGGCGTCGGTGAACTCGGTGAGGCGGGAGACTAGGGGTCACGGCACGGAGGAGAAAGGGAGCCGGGGGACGGACTCCGATTCCCCCACACCACCGGTATCGATTCCCAAGTCGTCTAACTCATTGGTGCAATTTCAATGGTACATGAGCTGTCGCATGCGCCGTACGCTAGATGATCTAGCAGCATTGAGAAGCCCCTAGGT